TGCATTGTCACAAATGTAAGTTTTGTATTCTTGCAGCTCCAAAGTAGGACCATGTGTGTTCATGAAGGCCCTAAATTTTGTTCCCATCAAGGGCAAATATTTTTCTTCTGCTTGAAGATGTCACTAAAACATTTCTTCACTAGTGGTTTTTAGAGCCTTCTAGTGTCATAAGCCACCACTGAAAAATATAAGTCTAGTCCTCATGACTGTTACAGGTGCACAGTGGTTAGATGTTGCTAACGCTAGGAAAGGGTATAAATCACTAATGAGGAAATTACTTGAGTCTGGCCAGTAATGTCCTTGCTTAGTGTATCTCTCTCTCCCCTTGTCCCATTTGTATTACAGGATACACGGTTGTGCCAATACAGCAGGTGCTTTCAGCATTTTGCAGGTATCATTGGAGAGTCCAGAGCACTGCAACCCAGCATCGAATATTGTCGGAAGTACCTCAATCAACTGGAAAATACTATTAAAAAAATGAAGGTAAGAGTGATTCCTTTGGGCCTATCCTTTGGTTTTCCAAAATGACTTTCAGGCTCTGTGTGTGCATGTCAAAAGAAGAGTGATCCTAAAGCAAAATTTAGTGGAAATCTTAGAAAGCTCCACAATGGCATTGTCTAACATTCAGACTTTTTTTTTTTTTTAAAAAAAATTACATTGAAAAACAATAGGATTCTCTCCCACTTCATTTGCATGTATCCCCCTATCTCTCGCCCAGCATGCTGAATCTGTATAAGTAAATTGGGACAGTTGACTCTTTCTCTTGTACAGGTTAGAACAGGGGTCTTCAAACTTGGCCCTTTTATGACTTGTGGACTTCAACTCCCAGAATTCCTCAGCCAGCGTGGGAGTTGAAGTCCACAAGTCATAAAAGGGCCAAGTTTGAAGACCCCTGGGTTAGAATGTTAAATTGGGAGTCAGGAGGAGAGACTTAAATTTAGGAATTCATGTGAACATGAAGCTCGTTAGATGACTCTGGTTCAATTCCTCTCTCTCTCAGTCCAACCTATCTCATAGAGTTGTCATTGCGGGTTAAGAGGTATGCCATCTTAAGCTCCTTAGAGAGAAGTTTTTTTCTAAGATTTTTTTCCCTACTCTTTCTTCAGTCACATCCCTCAGCCTTGTGTACCACATACTGCAGAATCTCCTGGCCCTCCACTGATCTCCGATGGCAGGACCTCATCAAAGGACCCCACCTGGCCCAGGAATTGCTTGCATATTTGGAGCAGCTCAACCTTTCTTGTAGCTGAGATGATCAGCATGGTGGAACTGAATCATTATTGCCTTAGGTCATGGAACTGAGGTCAAAGTTTTCTTAGGAAAGGTCAACATCATTTATTTTATACTTTGTTATAGTGGAAAAGCAGTTTCTATATATGTCAAAGAGATGTTTTGTAGAAGCAGAAATGATCTGTAATAGTGCAATACTGTACATATCTCTTTAGGAAGTCAGCCTCATTGAGTTTAATGGCGCTTTTTCATCTGGAATGAAGTAAATGGTTCAGGAGAGTTGACTGACACAATGTGCAACTTAGAGATGAAACTGGCTCAATTGACTTCTGTTTTTTGATTATTTATGTATGAATAATAATAATAATATTTTTGGTTAGTCATTATGTTCTCTGGTATCTGTAAGGATAGAGCACAAAGATTAATTTTTTAAAAAAATAAATTTGGATTCTTTTCTAAGTAATTGATTGCAGTGTATTTCTCAAAGGAACAGGAATTTCCTAAGACTGATCTGAACATTCTTACTGACTAGAATAATGTCTGTACATTGCTGTGTTGTCTAATCAGTTGCTTCCATGTAATTCCATAATCCCACAATCGATCCCACCTATTACCTCATCATAAAGTTTGCTAGTGAAATAACTATTTATTTGGAAGTCTTGAAAGACTCTCAAGATAATAGTGTGCATAGTTCACAGGAGATTGCATCTCTCTTTCCAAAAGAAAAAGAGTAGGAGTTAACTTTATTCAGGTGCCTTCATCCTGCTGTGTTAGCCTCATATTCATCCACAAATTATCAGGCAGGCAAGTAGCACTGTGTAAAGCTAATGCTCTTTCTCAGTAGGATTATGGAAATTATGCCTGCTAAATTTTGAGAAAGCTACAATGGCATAAGTGATAATCCTTTAGTCAGCCAATTTAGACAGCATTTGAAATAAAACGAATGCTCTTGGGTTAGAATATTGCAATTGGCTATACGGTTTATTTATTTATTTAGAAAAAAAGGATACTTAAAGAGAGCAACTGCAAACATAAGAAACCAGGATAATGGCTAGGTCTCTGACAGCATTGTTTTCTGATCGTTGTTTAATTACTAATACCACATCAACAGTCCATTGCTAACAAGGCCCCAATGGCTCACTGAAATGGGAGAAATTATTTCCCCCCCTTAGAAGACCAGATATGCTAATGTCCATTTGCAGTCTAAAGAATTCAGTCCAGCTTAATCATTCCTCCCACTACTTTGTGAGAACTAGTTTAAGAGCACCTTTTTCCCAGCTCTGTTTCCACTCCCCAGAAAACCAACCAGAATGCACAAAATCATTGTTCAGTTAACGCCTTGTCCTCTGAATTACTCCCCTCTCTCCTACTTCGTACCTATAACCGGTGGGCGACTATGGCCCCTTTATGACCTGTGGACCAGCTTTCCTGCTGGCTCAGAAAGTTTGGGAGTTGAAGTCCCCAGGTCATAAAGGGACCATAGCTGCCCACCTCTGGTCTATAAGGACATTTTAAAAGATTGCAATAACTCCCCTGCCCTCTGCTCCCCTTCCCACTTCATGCTGCTTTGATGGAAAATTAAGGGGAGTTATTATGGGAAGAGCTGATATTATAAAGTGTCTCTATGCTGGAGAGGGTGGTGCTGCCAGCTCCGAAGGAGGCAGGGGTGGACCCCCTTCTCAAGAGGCCATCCTTCGACCCAACAATATTAGACAACTTTGTTCAGTCTCCAGTCTTCCCTTTTTAGAAAAGGTCATTGAGGAGGTGGTTGGCAAACAGATACAAAAGTCCCTGGATAAAATAGATTATCTGGATGCTTTTCAAGCTGGGTTCAGGTTGGGGCATAGCACTGAAATAGTATTGGTTGCATTTGTGGATGATCTTGGAAGGGCTCGAGATGAGAGTGGTTCAACCATTCTGGCCCTCCTGGAGCAATGGCTTTTGATATATTCATTCATTCATTCATTCATATATATCCCACCTTTATTTTTATAAACAATTCAAAATGGCAAACATACCCAATACTCCTTCCTCATCCTATCTTCCCCACAACAACAATCCTGTGAGGGACTGGGCTGGGCTGAGAGCAGCTCCCCAAATCGCACTATTCTTCTGGATGATCTTCAGGAATTCAGAGTGGGAAGTGCTGTGCTATGGTGGTTCTCCTCCTTCCTCCATAGCTACTTCCTTGGTATTGGTGCAAGAGGAGAGGTCAAGGCCTAGGCCACTGCAATGTGGGTTTCCTTGGGGCTTGAGCCTCTTGCCTCTCAAACATAAACATGAAGTTTGGGAGTGGTCATCTGTCAGTATCATCAATCTGTTGATTATATTCAATTATATACCTCCACCCCTAAATGGACAGCTGATACTGTGGCAATGCCAGCCAAGATTCTCGGGGGGGGGGGAGGAATCAGCTTTGATACTCAACCCTGGCAAGATGGAATGGCTCTGGGTTTTTGGCCACCCAGCCCCAGATTCAGATATTTCATCTTTGACTCTGGACAGAGTAGCAATCTCTGAAACTATGCTGGTATGCAATTTGGCGGTCCTCCTAGAGCAGTGGTGGAGAACCTATGGCACGGCTGCCAGAGGCGGCACTCAGAGCCCTCTCTGTGGGCACGCGCACTGTCGCTCCAGTCCTAGGCCTTCAGCTGGGTTTTATAAAACCTTTTCGCTTTAGGCCTCTGCTGCTGTGTGCAAAAAAAAAAAGGTTCAATCAATCAGTCAATTTCAACTTCTCGCAGGAAAAAAAAAGATCTTGCAAAGTTGGAATTGATTGATTGAACTTTTTAGTCCCACCCAGTGTGCTGTTACTACCGCAGACACACCCGGCCAATGGGCCACACCCACCCAGCACCTGATAATGCATAAGTGGGTTTTGGGTTGCAGTTTAGGCACTCAGTCTCTAAAAGGTTCGCCATCACTGTCCTAGAGTGACTCATGTCTCCTGCTCCTGCCATGGCCAGGGGAACATTTGCAAAGATTCATCTAGTGCACCAACTGCACCCTTTTCTGGACAGGGAGGCCTTGCTCACAGTCACTCATGCCTTGGTAAATTTCCATTTGGATTACTGCAGTGTGCTCTACCTGGGGCTGTCCCTGAAGACTACCCAGAAGATTGCATGGGGGAAAAGAGAATGGTATAAACCAGCGGTTCTCAACCTATGGGTCGCGACCCCATTTGAGGTCGATCGACCATTTTTCGGGGGTCGCCAAAGGCGGCGATCTGCCATTTTCTCCCCTCTGGGGGCGGCGTCACGCCTCCGGGGGGCGGCACCACGCATGCGCGCTGTGCATGGGGGCACCGCCGTGCATGCGCGCCGTGCCGCACATGCGCATAACGTTTGTGTGACGGAGGTCGCCGTCACACAAACGTTGAGAACCGCTGGTATAAACGCAAACTTCAGGCTCTAGAAATGGAACGGGTGGCAGCTGGGGAGTGAAGAGTTAGAACTTAAGAGGCAAGGCAAGGCAGTGGTTTCCTCCAGTGAGAGCACAAATCACCCACAAGCTCCCAACCACAATGTTTTAGATGAAACTTCAACTTTGCCCCAGTTTCAAATTCAGATACTGTTGAGCAAGGAAAAGGTTGATTCAAATCTGCAAATTAGCCAGTGTCATATAAGCATGCAGACTGAGAGTTGGTTTTGAAGTTCTGAGGTCACCATGGGTAGACCTTGCTATATGATAATGGCTACTGACAAAAATCTTTTACCCCAAATTCTCTCTAGCAAATCTTAGTCTGAGATATAGCAATAACAGTCCAAAGAGACAATACAATTATACTTTATTTCTTAGAAGACCAAAGAGGATAGGAGAGGTCAAACTTACAGAAATGGTAGGACCCCTCTTACTGACTTCATACACAGCATAAATGAGAAGAGGTGGATTTCTCTTGGGCTCATAGATGCAAAAGGATATACAAAACACACCCAGAAGCAGGGAGCAGATTTTTTTTTTTTTAAAAAAAGATAAAAATAACAGAACCTTTTAATGGAAGCAAAAAGAAGAGGCTATATAAATGTGTTACATGGAATCACGGTTCCAAAAATCTCCTGCCTATATTTTTAGGTTGTGCTAGGGCAGTGTTTCCCAAACTCGACAATTTTAAAGCACGTGGACTTCAACTCCCAGAATTCCATAGCCAGCAACGCTGGCTGTGGAATTCTGGGAGTTGAAGTCCACGTGCCTTAAAATTGTCGAGTTTGGGAAACACTGTGCTAGGGCAATCTGCAAGCTGGCTTTGTCCCACAAATGGAAGTTGGGAGGACATGGAAAAATTATGAAGCCAGTGGATTGGTGACCCGTCCCAGAAAGATTGGGACTCCTTGACCCCCCATAATCAAAAAGAGGAATGGCTGTTGCACTTCAAACATTGTGGCTATGCGTGCTAGGCTGACTGCTGTTGCGGCAGCTCCTTCTACTCCCTCCTCTGAGATTTGTAGCACAGCTTTGTGTTTGGCACCGGACACGACGACTGGTTCATTTGGAGCGATCCCACACAAATCGGCATCATAGAAAAGCCCAAAATCTGAAAGGAAACATTGAAAGAATGCATAAGAAATGGCATTTCTTAGATCTAAAATTCGATCTAAATCCGCAAAACTCCATGTTCAGGTCATTTCCACATTCCATCTTTGTACATAGCTGAGATATGCTGCTTTTCCAGAATTATTTAAAGAGGAATTATGACATATATAGTATTCGTAATAACACTATTCTAATAACTGGCCATGCCCCTCCCTCCTCGTAAAGGTCTTTCTGTGATACATATTGGCAGGTCAATCCCATTCTGCAATGTTCTCTCACCTAGAATAATTAACAGCTTCCTATTTAATTAAACATTAATTAAAAGCTCCATACTGTACTCGGTCAACTTCTATTAACCTAATGTTTATGCGTGTGATATGTTTCTTATCTTTTCTCGTTACTTTCTTCCTTTCTTTCTTTTACAGCCATCTTTCCAAGTATCCTCTCACAAGGGAGGCCAAAGTGACTAACCTGAAAACAACCCTAAAAGTCTCAATAGCGTTTTCTTTTCCCCAACGCTAATGACGTTCTATTATTCAAGAGAACTTCACTGAAAACAGAACCAGGAAAAAAGTTTTTTTTTCTATTTCCCCATTATTTACCCTCCAAAGTTACAGACAGTCTTCAACTTACAACCATTCATTTACAGACCATTGGAAGTTGCAACAGCACTGGAAAAAGAAAGTGACTTAGGACAGGCACTTGCATTCATGACTGTTGTAGCATCTCCAGGGTCACGTAATCGGAATTTGGGTGCTTGGTAATCAGAATGTATTTACAAAGGTTTCAGTGCCCCAGGGTCAAGGGATCACTGTTTGCAAACTTCCCAGCTGCCTCCCAACAAAAGTCAATGGGGAAGTTGGATTTGTGATTCAGTTAAAAACTATACTGATTTGCTTAACAATCATGGCAAAAAACAGTCATAAAGTCAGGTGTGACTCACTTAACATCTGCTTTGTTTAGCAACAGAAAATCTGGTCCCGATTGTAGTTGTAAATTGAGGACTACCTGTAATCCCAGAAGCAGAGATGAGATGTGAGCCCTAATTAGCTTCACTTTTTCAAGGAAGAAGAAAATACGGGAAAGAGAAAACAAAATTATTTGTTTTCCAGCAGGTTTTGAGCAATGCCAATGCCAGGTATCCTTCTTGAGAATATCAGTTTTGGATGATGCCAAAAGACCCCTCTAGGAGCAAAAGAGATGGCAGCTTTTTTCTTCTCGGAATAAAGTTATATAATTGAAGTGAATTAAATATGGCTAGGATTGGCACTGAGGTTGTTTTTTTCTTCTTCTCACCATTGACTGACCTGATTGACTTGAAAGTAGCAAATACATTCTCCTCACCTCTAATGATCCCATTGATTTAATTTCTTAATTTTTCTTACCCATTTCTCCAATGATTTCAGTAAGATCCTGAGATGATTCCAGCTTAAATTTTGGCAGCGTTACTATTGTTGGCTTCAAAGGCAAGGCCTCCAGCCTGTTCAGAGCTGACATGACGACTGTTGCAGTGAGACGTTCCTCTATCTCAGAGAGGCTTGTCAACTGGGAGCGAGGGATGAGGATCACCAAACTCAAATTGTGATGCAACTGAAACCGGGCAACCTGACAAAGGAAATATCCATCAGCCTCTAGCCTGTCTCCCATAGTCTCACTCTCTTTGACTTAGAAAAACATTCATTTCCCTTTCTTTTTACTGTAATAAGTCTTAAATTGTACTTGCTATTCTCCATGTTCTCTAACTGTACCATTTGGGGAATGACAAGGAGTTTTGTGGGCTCAAAGACTCGAATAAACCCTAAGAAATTCCACAAAATGCTTCTTTGCAGAGAAATTCATTGAATAAGAGTTTAAATATATTGCCCAGTTCAGCAGCAGGAGTCTTGTATTGAGTAAGCAGGCACAACTTTGTTAACCTGGTGAGGAAACAGTAGAAGGCGATTTCTTATGACTTTGGAGACAGCTTTCCCCTATCTGGTGTTCTCCTGATGTGCTGAATTATGCAAATAGCATGACTAGAAATTAGGGGATTAAGGTCCATCTTATCTGGAAAGCATTAAATTGAGAAAATTGTTCAGGGATTAGAATACATACCCAATCTAGTGCCAAGCCAATTTTACATTCCTGCCTTTTCCTGAAGAAACCATAAAACGATACTTTTGCTATGACACTGAAGTTATTGTTATGTTCTTCTTACAGAAAGAGCAATATAGGCAACCCAGTCCAAATGCCTATTTTGTGGACCTCAGAACTGTAGAATTCACCCAGTCAAAAGTTAGACACAAACCACTAAGAAATGGAGCCACTGATTTTAATACTATTTGACAGAATATTAAAGTGTATGCCATCTTTCTTTTAGATTTAATGGGACAACCTTTTCTATGGAAATATAAGTCTCACCCACTTTCATGACTTAAGTATCATTGTCCATCTGACTGCTAAAAAAATGATAGTACAGTAATGTCTTAAAAGTATCACTCCTGGGAACCTAAAAATTATCTGCTTCAATACAGAATTACAATTTCTAAAGATCTTTGGACATTAGCCATAATCACTAAGCAAGATGATATTAGGAAGGTACAAGAATTGGACCCAGAATTTGAAACTAGAGTTGCGATTGTTGCCCCAAGGCAGTTTATAGGGTTCATGGTTGAAGTTGCATTTAATATTTTTGGAAGGCTGAGGTGGCAGATAATGGTGCGAAGTAGATTGGGCCATGCTTTCCTTAGTGATTCTTGAGGTTTTATGAGTTTATTTATGTTTTAAGCTATGTTTCAATACTCTATAGATTTATGATTCCACTCATTACCAGTTTTCTGCAGCCATGATCAGAGTGATTCCAAAGACGACAAATAAAGGTTCAAGGATTACATGGCTTTAGATTGCCCATCTCTTTCCCAGCAAAATGAACTGAGTCTGGCTAATGCAGAGGAATGAGAAGATGCAATCATCTAGTTATCTATCTGTCTGTCTATCACTCCCTCCATCCACCTGAATGGCATGATCAATAGACTTGTTTGAGACCTCTGAATTAATTCTGGCCTTTAAAATACTAAAAAAGAGAGAGTGCCAGCCTTTGTCCAGTCCAATAATGGTTTTTAACTCAAAAGAGCAAAAATGCTGGGCATGAAAGTGGAATACCATGTATCTCTAGAGAACAATAACTCTCATGGTATAGGTAGAGTATTTGCATTTAAATTTACTGCTTTTGTTGTTATCCCTATGCCTACTACCGGTATCTATCTATCTATCTATCTATCTATCTATCTATCTATCTATCTATCTATCTATCTATCTATCTATCTATCTATCTATCTATCTATCTATCTATCTACTATATCTATCTACCTATCTATCATCTGTCTGTCTGTCTGTCTATCTATCATCTATCTCTAAAAAGATTTAAAAATCAAATATATATACATAATGGCAACTGCGAACCACATAAAACATCAACAGATGACACATCCATTTCCCAGAACCATTTAGCTTTCCAGCTCCCTGATGGGAAAACAGCCACCTTTTGAAAGCTTTACAAAATGTCAGCATTGGGACCAGCTGGGTGTTCCAGAGTGCAAATGCTGTGATAGAAAAGCCTTACCTCCTAGGTCCTTGTTATAATTTATCTATCAAGGAATTCATGGAATATGAATATTTCATACAAAGTACAGATTAGATAAAAGGGACTTGAAAGAGGCTGTCCTAGTCATATGCACATTACCTTAGCCTGCAAATTGGGGTCAAAGTAGGAGGCCACTGGATATTTCTTACTGGTCATCATGGGTACCTTGATGGAAGGTAGACCAGGACGGTAGAAATCTTCCAAGATTGTATTCTTTCTTTTAAATATAGTTTTCCATTTGGCTGAAAAGTTAAAGAAATTGGATAAGAGGGAACCTCTTTATGTGTACATATACATATACATATGCTTAAAAGAAACAATCGAACACCAGGATAAAATACAAACAAGACCGTTTAATACACTTAGCTTTTGTCGGCTAACGTATTGTTTCTAACTGTCTTGCATCAATCTGTGTATGGCCAATTGGGGTGGATAGACCAGTAACTTGCTCAATGAGCAGAGCACAAAAATGGCCGGCTTTATAAGCAAGCTCCCAGAACGCTGACATTTTACTCTGACAATGTCGGTAGTTAGCCGATGAAAGCTAAGTGTATTAAACAGTCTTGTTTGTATTTTATCCTGGTGTTCAATTGTTTCTTTTAAATATGAGTATACTCAGAATTCATATTTTTAGCGTAATTAAGGATAACATATACATATATCTCAACTATATAAGAAAGTAGGAAGAGCCCTGCTGAATCTCACTAAAAATTAATGCAGTCTACTACACAGGTCACATAAGCTGTCATTCAGTTATGAATGTCAAAATAAATATATAAAATAAATATGCTAGTCTTGCCCAAAGGTTAGCTGCTCCACGATGGAACATTTTTGGAAATGTCTGATACAATTATTTGCATAATGCTGTAAAGAACTCTTTTTAAAGTAGAAACTGACAGCCTCAGAACATGCACTTTCTTTTTCCGGCTGCTTGTCTCATGGCTGGGTTCATACATGGAGCAGACCCAAGGGATTTTATTTTTTTACAATGGTTTGTTGAACAAATATTAGTGACCTGACTTACATGTATCTACTGTGTTTGTAGTGGTCTATAATGGGTGGGTTCAAATGTCCTGAACCCTAAAACAAAGAAAGCACATCAACTGATGCTTAAATCCAACATTGTGTGGATGAGTTTCAAGGATTAGGTAGATACACTCTGTGATTATCAATAAACGCTGACCTGAAAGCAGGGCAAACAACTTACACTTGTGGGCAAGTCTTCCCTTCAGCTCATAATATTTAAATAGTGAATAAATTTAAATTAAGCTTATATAAACTCATAATATTTAAATGAAGTAAAAAAGTGTATTAAGTAAATATTTTTTTCTTCAATTGAGCTCAGTTCTTGATGTCTTGTTGGCCATCCATGTTGCTTTTTTTAAAATAAAAATACTGAAGCAACTTGCCATTGCGTTTTTCCAGTCTGTTTTATGCTTTCAAACATTTAAAGGGGGTGTGTACCCACAAATATAGATGCAAACATTTAAATGGAATTGTTTCCCTGTTAGGGAAAGTAGGCATCCCTTGGTGTTTCACAGTTGGAGGGATGAAGCTTAATCATCTCTTTCCATTTCTGCTTCTACAGAATAATCAACAATTTGAACAGGGTTCCATGATATGTGGAACCACACCAACAGCAGCTGGGCTGGGCTTATGGGTTTCTGTACTGAGGATTTTCAATTTTCTAATCCACCTAGAGTAACTACGGATGTGTTGGACACCCCTATAAATTCATTCAATAAATAAATAACAGTTGCTAGTGTCACAATTCTGAAGAGGTACAGCATGAATCCATTTTAAGAATGATCTCAGAATAATGAATGACTGCTTTATGAAAGAGTTTGGGAACAATTTGGGGAGCCAAATGATTGCCAGACAAACCTTACTTGGTTTGTCCTTGGATTACTACTGGATACAGATCAGCATGGCAGATATTTGCCCATACTGTCATGAATGTTCAGGCCCAACTTGAAGGCCTAGCTAACTAAGTTCCTTGCATCAAACCAGGTTGCCTGATGTATCTTAGAATTTCAATGTGCATAGGAAACTGTCAATGTCACCTCAGTTATACATTGGCTACTGGGATTAGTTTCAATGGTGGGATTCAAATATGTGAACAACCGGTTCTCTGTGTGGGTGCCGCTTCTGGAAGTCCATTCTGGGCCTGGGCAACAAAAAAAAATTAGCTACTGGTTCTGCCAAAGTAGTGCGAACTGGCTGAATCCCACCACTGGACTAGTTATCTAAGGAATGCTGAATGAAAGATGGTAATATTCAAAGACAGAGGCAGCAGTATAGAGACAGATTACCAAAAAGCCTTGGAAGAAAGAAAAAGTCATAAGACAGAAGGAATATCCTGAGGAACAAAGGACTAAAGTTACTCCAAAAAACCTGAAGGGAAACAGTGTGCATCGGAGACAAATCACATTTCAGCATAGAGCAGTGATGGTGAACCTTTTAGAGACTGAGTGCCCAAACTGCAACCCAAAACCCACTTATGCATTGTTGGGTGCCGGGTGGGTGTGGTCCATTGGCTGGGTGTGGCCTGTTGGGTGAGTGTGGCTGCGGTAGTAACGGCAGACTGGGTGGGACTAAAAAGTTCAATCAATCAATTCCAACTTTGCAAGATCTTTTTTTTCCCTGCGAGTAGTTGAAATTGATTGATTGAACCTTTTTTTTTTTTTGCACACGGCAGCGGAGGCCTAAAGCAAAAAGGTTTTATAAAACCTAGCTGAAGGCCTAGGACTGGAGCGACAGTGCACGTGCCCACAGAGAGGGCTCTGAGTGCCGCCTCTGGCACCTGTGCCATAGGTTCGCCACCACTGGCACAGAGTCTTGAGGAGATGGTGCAAGAGAATCTGATGTGGCATCTGTGAGGCACAGAAGAAATTGCTAGTGTTCCTTTGAGTAAGGCCTCTGAACTGCCAAGAAGCTGTGTGAACCTTCATGTTTTATGCAAATATAAACTAGGTAGTGATTAGATTATAAAGATATAACTTGGCTTGGCAATATTTTGTAGGAAATTCCTTAAAGAATTCATTTAAAAAGATAATTAAATCTGCATGGAAAATGATATTGTCACAGTCCCCCCCTCCTCCACGTCTCTCTCCTCTTGTTAGAATTTTTGTAAAAGCAACTCAACAATGGATTGTACAAAGCTTCAACAATGGATTGTACAAAGCTTTGACAAAACTTCATGCAAACCCATACCTTTGAAAGCTGTTCTGAAAAGTAATCTTCCTTTTCCACTTATAAACTGAAAGCAAGACTGACATTTGCTTCACTTTATATTGCTCTAGATCCCATTCAGCAGTTCAGCTACTGGACGCACCAGATGAATCTTACACAATACTGGTGAAAAAGGCTCTTCAGATACTGGAATCGCCAGATGAGGCCTTTGGTGTCATGAATCATATTGCCTCTGGGACATGAGGCTCCACACTGAGCTAACCACAACTGCCTTGCACAAGCTAACCAACACATGCCAATATCCAAACTTTTAATTTCTATATGTGATTTAATAACATAACAACAGCATAACAATATAACAGAGTTATTGTATTTTTAATCCTTTAGTGATTGCCACTCTTAATCTCACATTATGCACGCTACAAAGAATACAATTATTTCTTTTTTTTTCTTCAGAAAAATGATGATGGCAGTGAGTTCTAGATTGACTGAACCCCTTTCTACAGGAAATCAGAGAGAGTAAGATGCCAAGTGCAGAATCCCTAAAATATTTTACTTACAGTGGAAGTAGACAGCATTGAGGAGTACCATTTGGGCATCAGGATCTAGGTCATCCAAGAGTTTCTTGATCTTGTTACCAGTACGTTCACTCACCCATGAGTTGATATCAGTTACTGCCTGGTAGGTGTTGTTACTAAGGAGCTTCAGCTTGGTTTGATAGAATGTACTTGTTAGATTACGAAATCCACTTCCCATCTTAAGTGCTGTGTGTCAAAAATACAGATTTAAAAAAATTCAAACAGTAGGCCATTCCAAAGCATGTACCACTTACAATAAACATATTTATAATTCTTTTTCTCCAAAGATTTTATAGTGTACTATTCATTTAAAAGATAAAGATGGATGGTTTCCCACTGTGGCTCATTTACAGAGAATATGTTATACTGTCATTAATTCATGTTCTTAAGGGACCAGAAAAGTGCTTTTAAGGAGATTCTTATATGAGATTTATAATCAATTTCTTTATAAGCTATAGAATTTCCTTTGGAAGTACTCATCTGGAAAACAGAACTGCTTAATTCATTCTTTGCACCTGTCTTTGTACAAAAGGAAACAATAATCCAACCTACCAAAAGCAGCATCGTAGGAGATAGAATAGAAATGTAACACAAAATAGGCAAGAAAGTGGTAACAGAACACTTATATACTTTAGATGAGCAACTATGAGAGAGATGTAGGTGTCCTAGGAGACCAGCCGTATTCAAACTTGGCCCTTTTATGACTTGTGGACTTCAACTCCCAAAATTTCTCAGTCAGTGTGCTTAGCTGAGGAATTCTGGGAGTTGAAGTCCACAAGTCATAAAAGGGCCAAGTTTGAAGACCCCCTATTATAGACCATCACTTAAGCGTGAGCCAGCAGTGTGCTGCAGCTGCCAAAAAGACTAATGCAGTTCTAAGTTGCATCAACAGAGGGTTAGTTTCAAGATCATGTGAAGTGATAGTACTGCTTCCAATTCTGGTTGTTGTTGTTAGTTGTGAAGTCGTGTCCAACCCATCGCGACCCCATGAACAACGTTCCTCCAGGCCTTCCTGACCTCTACCATCTTCTGGAGTCCATTTAAGCTCACTCCTACTGCTTCAGTGATTCCATCCAGCCACTTCATTCTCTGTCGTCCCATTCTTCTATTACCCTCAATCTTTCCCAGCATTAGGCTCTTCTCCAGTGAATCCTTTCTTCTCATTAGGTGGTCAAAGTACTTGAGTTTCAACTTCAGGATCTGGCCTTCTAAAGAGCAGTCAGGGTTGATCTCCTCTAGGACTGACTGGTTTGATCACCTTGCAGTCCAGGGGACTCGCAGGAGTCTTCTCCAGCACCATAGTTCAAAGGCCTCAATTCTTTTGCGCTCAGCCTTTCTTATGGTCCAACTTTCACAGCCATACATTGCAACTGCGAAAACCATGGTAACCATTCTGGTTACCATAATACCAAAAAAAAAAAAAAAAATGTTGAGACCTTAGAAAGAGTGCAGTGAACAACAAAAATGATAAAGGGTCTGGAGGCTAAACATATCATGAACGAATGAGGAAACTAGGTATGTCTAGTCTAACAAAGAGAAGAACTAGGGGTGATATGATAGCATTCTTCCAGTACTTGAATGGTTGTCACAGAGAAAAGGGAGTCAACTTATTCTCCAAAGCAAGTGAGGGCAGGACAAGAAGTAACAGGTGTAAGATCATTAAAGAGAGATCCAAGCTAGAGAAATTTCCTGACAGTAGCGAACAATTAATCAGTGGAATGACTCATCTTTGGAAGTTGTGGGTGCTCTATCACTGGAAGTTTTCAAAAAGAGACTGGACAGCCCTTTGTGCAGAATGGTATAGGATCTCCTGCCAGGGATTGGACTAGAAGATCTTCAAGTTTCCTTCCAATCCTATCATTCTATGTATTAATATGCTATTTATTGATTTGCACTATGGGAAATTATCTGAATAATCAACTTCCCATAGCCCAATTCTATAAACAGCAATTAAATAGAATCCTGCTTATGGATCCAGGTAAGAAGTACCACAAAACATATATTTATGGGTGCTCAGAAAAGGGAAAATCAACAACAAAAATGTTCAATTACAATAAGTCCAAAAATGTCACTAGAAGAAGAAAGGAGAAGCATAATAGTTTAAATTACTGTGCCTTCACTTTTGTTCTGCTGCCATATTTTATATTTGTATGTTTTAAAAACATGCCAAAGTTATTTTTGGACTGAGTCTATCAAAGGGGCAAAGAAAATATAAGTTATAATAATATCATTAAAAGGTTCAAAATTCACAAATGCTTATAACATACTTACACACACATACACAAACAAATCTTTTTGTAGGGTCTTAGGAATATATGAATAATAATAAAAAAGAAACTAATACCAGTAACATTTGTTAGCTAAAAATCCAATTATAATAAGTTAGTTTTTTCAAACCTTAAAAAAAAACTGTAGAAACTGTGGCCCCAAAGGGTAACAGATTAGGGAAGGCTACTGTGGCATTTGCTCATCAAACTGAAAACAGGCTACAAAAGGCTTTTACAATTTTATCTTGAAATTTCCCTTAGGGTAGACTGGTCTAGAGTTTAACCTAGTGATGAGACCAAACATCTGGCAGAATATATCTTATACTTGTACAGAATTTAATTGTACAAGCTGAAGTACTGTAAGAGAATCTCAACTGTAATTTCCAGCACAAGGCAGACTTCAGTTGTGTTCCAAGAAGATTTTTCCATTTTGGAACACACTGACCTCTAAAAACCAGGCCTTTAGTTAAAAGAAAACCAACTGTTTACTCACCTGATTGGTAAAAAATCGCATTAGCTGAAGTCAGGGCTTCGGACTTGCCAAGTACTTTCAAGGCTCTATGCACACATGCAAATTCTTTAGGATAGAACAGCAGACTCTCAAGACGATCTTTAGTTTCATCACAGGCTCCTGAATGACAAAAATATGTGTATGGAGCGGTTATTTGTCATTGGGCAAATACAGATTTTTTTTTCCCTGCAACCTATTTATTTACTCTTTCAATGCCCAAATTCTTGGATTTTGGACAATTACTTTTCAAGGCTGCCAAGTGTTAACTCCTGAGCTTGATTCTGAGACCTAGACACATGCTACCTCTTCACTGACCTTACCCTTCACTTTAATGGACTTTCATGTTGCAAAGATCACACCTGAATGTTTACAGTGTGTGGATAAACCAGTACCAGTGTTTCTTTTTGTTAATGAAGTAGACTGTACATTTTCCGGCTTTATTAACACAATTTCCAGCAACAGAGAATGTTAAACTCATGTGACATTAATCACTAACCATTGGATGATTTAGTGTGACAATGCTCAACAGATTTCCCAGCTTGTTTCCAGCATTTGAGGTGTGGATTAAGTAAAAGTGCAGCAATTGTTTCTTCTCAGATATAGTAACACAGTCTAGGGCCCTCAAATATTTTGGACCTTAACATTGTCAACTTTTGGCCACTGGCAAAAAAAGTGTGGGAGCTGTAGCCCAAGATACCTGGGTGATAGCTGACTGTTTTGTTTTCTGGGGAGCAAAAAAGTGCTTAGACCAGAGAATAAGTGATTCAGTTTGCAGCATTGGCTCATGTTCTGTGGGTAAGGCCCCATAGAAGGAAAGAAGTTAGGCAAAAATAGTAAAACAGATTGGATGAAAGGAAGCTGGAATTTGATTGTTGGCGCAAAACCTTTTAGTGAAAAATGAATGGTCTCCCCAGGGGATTTCAGCAATAGTAATCAGAATAATAAGATTGTGCTTAGCTGCCTGACACAATATAGACACAAATATATCTTGAACAAATGCTGCAAAAAAATCTGTCCAAAGATTCATTTAGATTGCCAATGATTCCCAAGTGAATGTGGCTCACTTCTAGAAAGATAGGAACTTTATACTTAGTTTAAATGAAGATGCCCCTAGTTTAATACTATAGCTTTCTTACAACAAGAACGAGATGGGAAGATAGAAATGTGTCTACTGTATTAGCAATGCTATTTGAAACAGGGATGTGTATGACAGATAGGAAGGATGTTTCATAACTTAGGGATTTTTTTCAGAGAAACATAATATCTTAGAAAGTATGAAAATATATGAATGTATTTTATACTAAAATGTAGTATACAAGGGAACCTTTCATGCAAACATAATTCAAGGAGCTAACACATAGCAGGAGACCCACTCACATTGCACTGCAGGTCCTCCAGGTAAGGAGAAATAAAGATGAAGAGGAGATCCCAATGGCTTATTCTTACCTAATAGGAGATTGGAAAGCGTTGTTATGATGCTAAGGGGTGAGAAAACCAAGTTGCCATCATTTTTCTGGACTGCTATTTTATAGAACTCAAGCGAAAATCTGGACAGAGCCTTAGCCAGCTTCTGCTCATCTTCTGCAGTGGATTGGGCACAGGCAGGCCACGGTTTCCAGCGCTGTGAGCATGAATCGGGTGGGCAACTGGTATCAGACACTGTGGGAATTGGGGTAGTATTTGCCGTGGTTGACCTTTCTGTTGAAACTTCAGTAGATTCTTCTTTGACATTTGGAAGTTCTGGATCCTGATTTTCAGGGACAGTCTGTTCGATTGTCACAGTATTAGTATCATTTTTTCCATTTTCCACTATTGGTCCTTGTGCATCCTCACCTAAATTGAACTGTAAAATGTTGATATTAAGTAATAGTGGATTACATTTATACAAATATGAATTTGTGCTTTTTTGTATATCAGCAAAAGCAAAAATAATTGGCAACTCCAAATATCTAGGGTTTAAATAAAAAAACAAGCAATTTGGCACTGTACTGCATGTTAATCACAATTAAATGTTTTGACATTTTGCAGTTTAGATGGATTTGACATAGAATCGGTTTTGGAAAACATTTCACATAAAAGGAACTCTAAAAGATTAAACTGCAATACCTTGTTCCTTAAAACAAAACAAAATAAATTAGAAGTTTAAGTTCAGTACAAGTTAGGGTTTTGAACAGGCTGACACACACAGCCTGCTGCATGGCTTTCATTTGATTTATACTGCTGAGTTTCTCCAGGGAAAAGTCGCAGGAGAATGGATTTTCAGAATGAGACAGTCCTGGACACTGATGATTGCTGTAAGCAGATGAGACATTTTATCCTAAATGGTTCTTTCTAAATTTTTGGTTCTGAGACATGGAAAATACATATCTTCTCCTGCATGCTGACCAGAGAGCATAAATAAATGTTTTCTTTTATTTCTTCATGACCATATGGTAATTGTTTGAGATGTATTAATAATGTTTCTAAAGCAGAATGAAAATGCTGCTGGGTAATAATGCCTTAATAAATTTAAGATAGTAGAATACCTAAATTTTAAAAATAAATTGACTATTACTTTCAATGCAAAAGAAAGCAGAGTTAAAAATTCCTGTTCTGATCTCCATTAGCCAACACACCTGATTGTCCTCTTCTTCAAACTGTCCTTTATCCTCAGTGTTGGTATCTGAATCCAGAGTTTGCTCGGTTTCTTCACTTCTCTCAGCCTCTTGAAAAGGAGTAGGTGTTATATCATTTCTATTATCTATCTCGGCAACGATGCAAGTTTTCTTAAAAAAATAAATCCTCATTAGATAAATCAATGTGGTCTGCTTTCATCATAAACAATACCTTTTCTTTCTGATTTAAAAGAGAAGCTAGTTACTATATTATGTTAGTTTTAGTTCAAAGTTGGGAGGAAAAATTAAAGGACATGCCTTTTGAGAATGAACAAAATTGTGTTAGTAGTTAGTTGATAAGAGTTAACACAATTGTGATCTGAATTTTGAATCAGACCTGCTCTCCCGACAACCATGATGTGATTCTCTGCCAAACAGTTTCATCCTGGCATTTGTTTAGTTTAGATTCTTCAGTCATCTCAGCAACTGTTTCTCTTCTGTATGCAACCTTGATGGAAGGCGTGACGGAGAAATACACCCCTGTTATTTAAATGCATAATCTTCTAAATCCTAAATAGTAACCATGCATTTCTTATATCAACAATGCTTTCTGATTTGGTTAACAAATAGATAATTCAACTTTTTAACAGTCAACATTCAAATCTTCAATATTTGAAGGAAGAATACTCTCCTGCCCTAATAATTTATCCTTAAAAACAGACTTAGATTTGCTGGCAACAGGCTGAGGTGTTGTTGTCTATTCTTCTTTTGTGGAGAGGATTGTCTTAAATTCAGACATTCTCCTTTGAGATAAATATATGATGTGCATGCAATTTGCACTGTCCTAGAAAACATTGAAAATTGAACTCTAATTTGAACCACGAGGTGGCAGTGTCAGGTCACAAAGGACCTGAACTAGGAATCCTATTGGCTTCTTGGTTCCTCTCTAGGGAGTTCACTAAGGACTGTTTTTCTCTTGGGCATGTTAATGTGCATTTCTCCAGTCCATGACATGGCAGAAGAGTGTGCTGATATAGAGTGTACTGCCCTGACATCTGAGTCCCATTGAGCGGCAATGCAAGACTAGTATGTGTTGCTGTCCTTAACAGTTTTAATGAAGACAAATTAAGGAAAGCAATTGGTGCATTTTTCTGGCTTTGTTTCCTCTACCATTAAATACAATCTGCTAGTAGGAGACCATCTAGCAATTGCTCTCACTAATGCATTGGATGGATGGGTTGGGCAAATAAGGGCAAGTGCTTTGAGCAATGGGCTTAGCCAGCTGTTTAGTTGTCTAACAGTTTATAAATATGGAGGTGCTCCTCCAGTTTCATAATGTGTCCCTCCTTCACATTTTCAACCAGGCTAGTTTTGGACACGAGTTTAGTGCTCTTTCCAAAGTAATTAGGCCTGTGTTGGAAAAGGTGACAGGCGTGGAGGTGGGTTCATGAGAAACATCGGGGTGCTCTTTCCCACTCACCCCTCAACTTTTTCCCATGTCTGTGACTTGTCAGTTAGGCTAGGCGCAGAGGGGGACTCTGGGATGGAGAAGGGGGAGTCCAGAGCAATAATGATTGTTGCAGGAACAAGTGCTGCAAAGGAAAGGCAGTGCTGGCGATGACCGATAAGGGAATAGGCAAAATGGGCTGCCTAATCCCTGGCCCCATCAGGGAGTGAAGTTGGGGTTGCTGTCTGTGCCCTGGATAAGAGCTGCAGCCAGGCAAAAACGCTTCCCACCACCACGTCCCTCGTGCAATCATACATTCACTCACAACTGTACTCACAAGCATCCAAGCCTATGATAATGGAGCCACACTCTGGTGTTTCAAGGGGAGGGGGCGATGTCTAATGGCAGCTTCACCTGGCCCAGACCCTTACCTTACCATGGCAAATGCTAAGACAGAGGGGGGGGGGTGTAGGAGGAAAAGTGATAACCAAACAGGGAAGTAGAGGCAACACCTGGAAACTGGTAGCTATTACAAGCAGGCAAGAGGATTCAATTGCCAGAATCACAAGCTACGTTGGGCAGCATATCCTGGTGAGGCTGTTGCCTAGAGCTTGGAACTTTGCTGGAAGCTCAATAGCAACCAGAAAAAGAGCATCCACACTGAAACAGCACCTCATCCCACCTACTGCAGGGCCTTTTGAAAAAAATAATAACGGTTGTTTGCTACTTTATAGATGTTAAGATTTCATTTGAACTGAATATTAAAGAATTGAGTATTGAAGGACACAGAGCACAAAGGGCTGAGTAGCAGCAGCAGGTCGCAAGCCCTAAAGGATAGAGTTGGCCCAGAACAGTAACCTGTTGTTGGGGAAAGTGTGTGGTGCAATAAAGCACTGTGTACAGATTTGCTATGCTGTGGTGTATCCAGTGCTTGGAAAGCAAAGAACCTTCACACAGCCCAAGAAATAATAACCAGAAAATGGTCATAAAAAATCCTCATAGCCAGAAGCATTAAACAACAACAACAACCCTGCAATGCATTTATTGGTGACAGAATCAGCTACACATAAGCTGCCAGAATGCAGTTTTCTCTCTTGTTTCGGACTATCTTCTGAGCACTACAAGACTAGAACTCCCATCACTAAAGCTGTACATAGGAAAATTCATATATGAAATCTAACAAGTATTATAAAAGCATTGGTAAGGCACTACATTGGTAAATGCCAATGACAAAGTCAGATGTCCATTCTCCTCTATAGTCCTACTAAAAAATGGGAATGGATGGTAGTGCCCAGTAATCAGAAGGGGGTTTCCTACACCAGCTTAAAAGGGCCAAAAAAGCAGGGCAGATCCCAGCCTCTAGCTGCATGATCAACCACATCAGCAGTATTTGGGTCCCAGAGGTTTGCCACCATAACCTTGGCTTGCTCCTGTGACTGCAATCTTTCTAGTTTTATCCCAACCAACATTAGGATGTTGCATACTCTCAGAAATCGAATAAAAGTTTAAATCTTCTCCATTGCTCTTAATAAGGTAAATAACTGGCACTCACCTGCTGAAGACTCGATATGGCCATAATGGCCAAACACAGAAGGACCAGCCAAGTCTTCATAATGGCAGAAAGCCTACCCAAAAAATGACTCTCGTTTTTAATCCCAACCAAAGATGGAGGCCTCTCTCCTACTTCTCTGATCTTCTTCCTTGAAAAATATCAAAACAGTTTCTTGCTGGAGGAATTCTGAAGAGCAGCCACTGGTTTTCTCCCCGTCTCAAATAACTCCTTGTTGTTCTTCTCTAGCTGTTGGCATGTTCCTCTCTCCCATTTTTCGCAATCTCTGATCATGTGATTAAGCCCAACTTAGTTTCACTCTCTCTGGGGGAATTCCAGCAGTCCAACAGATCTCGCTGGAAAGAAACAATTAGAAAAATATGATGAAATAAAGAGATTTTTCAAACAAGGAGGGGAAACAGGAAGTTCTCTGATGGAAGAAAAACAGGAGAACAAGAAGCAACTTTCTTTGTGCAAACTTCTAATAGATAATAGAATCAGACAGTTGTGACATATATTACCTTACCTTGAGAGAATGGCACAAGAGGAGTGAAATTGGAGGACTATGAACAGTCCATTGGTTGGCTTTAAACATAATCAGTTAAAAATTAAAGATGATTGATTCCCCTCTCAGTGAGGATTCCTGTAAATCAAGAGGGTGGGGATAAAATAATGGGTCAGCCTGTAGAATATTCTATCATGAAGAAAAAAGAACGATAACATTGGTAAACAATAGCAAGCTGTACCTGCAAACTGCTTATTATGGTCTCGCCGCTTATTTTAAAAAGATTGCTTAAATCAAGTTAATGTTTTTGCATAGTGTTAAGTTTGTTTTGAGAGGGCTCTGTGAACTCAGAAGATAATTTAGTAAATGACATTTTGTAGCTGTAAACTTGATCTGGAAATGCAATCTATAGGCTACAGATTTTTGTATGGAAATAACTTCAATGAAGAGAAGTAACAGCAGGCTAAAAATCTCCACGTCTCATAATCATTCAACTGTGTATATCCAGTTTGCACTTTATGATCTTTGGTTGCAAACATGTAGCAAAATGCTATGATATATATGTGATTTATATTCCTATTCAATTATATGTATTAAATCTCTTCTCATGTAGCAAATCCAGCACCCAGTTCCTCCTTTTCTTATTTCACTTCACAAGCGTGTTCACTTGTTCTTGATCTGAGTTTTCACGTAACTCCCTCTGTTGAATTTCTCAAGTTCCTCCAAAGTCTTAAAACCCCTTTATTCTACTAGCACTTAAAATATTCTTGATAGGTGCCAGCACCAATATTGTGCACAAAGTGTCAGAAATTATTTCTCTTGTGCCAAGAGAAGACAGAAAATAGTACTTTAAAACTGGAATGGCTAAGGAGTGGGTGAGGGAAGAGATGAAGATGAAAATTTAGGAGGATATTTCCTCTAGAAATGGCTAGAGGCTGTGTTGGTGCATTCAAGGACATGTCATAAAGTGATTGGTTTGGTTTGGTTTTAGCATGTTGCGTAAACCCAGTCAATTATGGATTATTAGACAATAAATAATGGATACACGGGTGTGGCTTTTGTAAAATGTGAACTCAGCCAGAACATGCTTAAAAAGATTATAACTAGAACACCATATTTAGCATTTATTTAGATAGTTTTCAAGTATTACAACCAATACTCTTATGCTATCTTTATATCATGAAAGGACCACTTTCTCAGCTACATTAAACAAAATGGCTGTGATCCACAAAAGCTTATAAAAGTGAATATATCTGTCTTCACTGTGCTATAAGAAATATTTTTGTTTCTCCTGCAAAAGATTCTTGATTCTTCTCCTCCCCTAGACTGGCAACACTCTTGAATGTCCTCATGAAGTTATGAACTTCTGGGAGTCTTCATCCACTAAGCCAATTAGCTTTAGAAGGTAACTGCTGCTGCTACTCTTGCATTTTACATCATCCCATGTTCATCCATAATCCATGGTTTACAAACTATAAGAGGGGGAAGAAGATATGCAGATCAGCTGAGCATAAGAGTGATACAATTACCAGTGGATTATTGCATAGTTTTATATCTGAGAATAAAACTAGACCAGAGAATTATCCCCCAGCACATGGCTTCTAAAGGAAAACAACAACAGAATAACACAGTTGGAAGGGACCCTGGAGGTCTTCTAGTCCAACCCCCTGCTCAAGCAGGAGACCCTATACCACTTCAGACTCTATATCACTAATATTAAGCTTCATTTGCATTTTCTAGAAATCGGCTATGGTACTCATTTAGAACAGGATAAATGGCCCTCCATTCTGTTCCTACTATGATCATTCATGGGAAAGACTGAAATTAGAATTTCAGCAACCGAGCATTATGCAGATTTAAACAGATCTGCACATAATATTCCAGGTATGGTTGTACAATTTATTATTAACTGGAAAGTCATAAATGAATGAAGTTCCCAATTCTATGCTACTTTTCAATCTTCCTATAAAAGAACTTTAAAAAAAGAAGACAGCAACCAACCGACAAATTTAATTTTAAGGCCTGTAAAAGATATTAGTTAGAAAATTAGCAATTTCACATTTGGATTAAGTGTGAACTCAGATATAGATGTCTCTATTTGCTTGGTTTTAAATGTTATTAGTGACGTTTTTTTCATCTTAAGAATTCATATATACATGGATGCATGGTTTGTTTCATATTAGCTAAGTATGAATCTAGCATTTCTGGTTTAACCCATGGTTTATGGTTTAGTATTTTGTGCTAATCCAGCCAGACACTTAGTTTAATGTAATTTATGATTCCAGCCTCAGGTTCTCAGACTCTATCTCATATTTTCTGTAATGAATAAATACAATTATCTCACTCCCTTTAGTAAGCCATTGGTATCCAATAGTCCAAATGCCTCATTTGATTGTTTCTGCCTCCGAATTATTTAATGAAACAATGAAGTCATTATTATTAATGAATATGTCAACAAGTTCTTCAAAATCATTTTTTAAAAAATCTTTATTGCCTACTTGCCTTTCTTTTGTTCATACCTATGCTGTTTTTGTTATCTGCATTTGACCAAACTTCCATTTTCTGAAATGATCTTTGAGGGTTTCCATGTATCTAATAGTTCTCTTGACATTGCTCATTAAACATGCTGGTGATTTCCTAGACTTTCTTGATTTGCATTATACTTTCTTAGTTCATATTATGTTGACATGTTTTTTTACTTCCTTTCTACCAATTTCCTCATTTTTGAAATATTGCCTCTTTTGAAATGAAATGTGGCTAAAAGGTATTTCCATGGCAGTTTTCAACCCTTTCGTGGTATTCTTTTTGTCACTTCTGTTCATTTTCATCTCTCACTAGGTCCTGCACATGACTTAGGGCAGGGGTCTTCAAACCTGGTCCTTTTATGACTTGTGTACTTCAAGTCCCAGAATTCCTCAGTCAGCATGCCTGGCTGAGGAATTCTGGGAGCTGAAGTCCACAAGTCATAAAAGGGCCAAATTTGAAGGCTCCTGTCTTAGGGTTAGCTTCCTTTTGGATAATTCCCTCATCTTATAGGGCAGTGTTCCTCAACCATGGTATCTTTAAAATATGTATGTAGACTTCAATTTCCAGAATTGCTAGGGTATCCCTTGCGTGTAGCCTTTTGACATGGGTTGTTTTTGAAATAGCATGAAGGTCTACAAATACCTTTGCTTCTAAAACTTCATATCTTGGTTTAACTGCAGAAGCACCTTCTTTAGCAACTTTACACTTCAGTACAGTATGTTATTTTTCTTTTTCATCTCTGACCCTGCACCTGGTTCATTTCAGCAAAACTCACAAGGTATGTGCAGTATGTACATAGATTCAGGGATGCATGTTTTCGTAAATCGCAAGAGTTATCTACAGTTTAATGTCAGTTTTTCTCTTTCTGATCATGACTGTGTTGAAATATGCTGTTTCTTTTTCACAATTTCAAAATTTAACACAACTTTGTATTATTTTATCACCATAAGTGGAAAAACAGCATCTAACTTCTCACAGCTTATGACTGGGATTTGTTTCTACCAAGCCAGAGTTATTGTTTCCATTCAAAATCTTCTGCAGACATGGTCTCTCTCTGACTCACCTTCTGTTCTTGCAAAAATATGTCAAACATGCAATCCACCCTTTGTCCATGTGTCTTACTATGATGACATCTCAAACATTATGCAAGCTCTGAAAGAGATGTTTTAACTAGACTTTGCAGCTAGATTTCAGAAAGAAGAGGAGGAGGAGGATTTATATGGGGTGCAGAAAGTGTTTCCTTCTATATAAATAATTTGTTATTATTGAAAGTAGACCATTTCCCTTTGTCTTTCATAATTAAACAATTATCGTTACGAAGCAGGGTTGAAGCATTCTTCACTAACACTACTTCTATGTAATATTATAGCTTCTGTTTCACTTTTTTCCTGTCAAGAGATAATACTTTTTCTCTGGTGTGGTATCTGGACCTTTGGACATTAGTAGCTTATTAGGTGATTTGATAGTGGCACTTATATTAGTAAACACTTCTAGGTCAAAGCATTTAAAAATGCTGGTATTTCCCCTGAAGCTCTGCTTAGACCTTATCAGAAAATGAAATGGATTGAGTTTACACTAAAAGGGAATATATAAATATTTACAGTTAACAGTGGTTTGTTCAAGCATAACTTTGAGTCACTTTATTTCTACACCAGTGATTTATTTATATCACTTATATTGAAGTGATATTTTATTACACAGTTATTTTAATACAATGATGGTTGCATGGCTCCAGAAGTTGTTATATCTGGAAATGAGCTGCATCTGAGTGAATCTACTCTCCCTTCAGGAAGAAACCTTAGACCAATTTTACAAATGCTTTTTAGGTGCAAGATGCATGTATGAAACCACTAGTGCATTTAAGGATAAAGGAAGGAAGAAGGGAACAATATTCAGTACTATATGCATGTACATAACATGTACATATCTGAATGTTTTCTGCCTAAGGCAGGGAAGAACTGTGAAGCTGTGCTTGTGGATGCTGTTTGAGAAGCATTTGGCTTACCTGTAGGGCATATGACAACTGGAATGATAAATGTCTTCCATGGCGTGCTCTGTAATAGTGACAAAACTCCCATGACTAAGTTTAGACAGAAGCACCTTTAATATAAGAGGCCTTGCCACAGAAGCCTGTGTTGGGGATGATCTGTCCTGGAGAGAGAGAGAGAGAATATTAGGGGGTTCCAGCCAAGAAGGAAGTGGAGGCAACAAAAGAAGAGGATGCTTGTTCAGAAGTGGCTGATTAGGGTGTATCATTGCTCCTGGCAGGAAACCAATGTTTAGAGTCAAAAAGTCCCCATAAAATGCCCTGGCAGTGAACTGTGTGGAAAACTTTACTAAGATGATTATAATTGTTTGATTATTGTGTTAGCATCTTTTATAATGAGGCTATTTTTTTTTGTCTTAAAACATGTTTGTTATTGTTGTTAGACTTTGAGCAAATTTGAACCATCAGAAGCAGACCTGCAAGCAGAGCAAATAATATTCCTTTTTATGGTATCAATCTTAAATCCTTGAATTGTGAAAGGAATTGTGAAAAGTTGGAAGGGGCTATGCAGATCATATCCAATCCAGTGAAGGAAATCAAATTAAAGCATTACAGTAGTTAGCTTCTGCCTGAATACGCACAGTGAGAGACTATCACCTTTCACAATACTGTACTTGCTTCTATTGTCAACTGTTATCATTATTAGCAAGCTTTCCTAAGACTCAGTAAGAAGTTCCCTTTCATCATTATCATTTTAGCCATTGTCTAGACATCCTAGAATGTGAAGTTAAATGGGCCTTAGGAAATCTGAGCAACAACAAAGCTAGTGGAGGTGAACATATTCCAGCTAAGCTATTCAAAATCTTAAAAGACGATACAGTAAAAGTGCTACACTCAATTTGCCAGCAAATTTGGAAAACTCAACAGTGGCCACAGGATTGGAAAAGGTCAGTTTATATTCCAATTCCAAAGAAAGGCAATGCCAAAGAATGTTCAAACTATCGCACCATTGTACTCATTTCACATGCTAGTAAAGTTATGCTTAAAATCCTACAATCTAGACTCCAGCAGTATGTGGATCGAGAACTACTAGAAGTACAGGCAGGATTTCGAAGAGGCAGAGGAACTAGAGATCAAATTGCCAACATACGCTGGATCATGGAGAAAGCTAGGGAGTTCCAGAAAAACATCTACTTCTGCTTCATTGACTATGCAAAAGCCTTTGATTGTGTGGATCACAACAAATTGTGGCAAGTTCTTAAAGAGATGGGAGTACCAGACCATCTTATTTGTCTCTTGAGAAACCTATATGTGGGTCAAGAAGCAACAGTGAGAACTGGACACGGAACCACTGATTGGTTCAAAATTGGAAAAGGAGTCCAGCAAGGCTGTATACTGTCGCCCTGCCTATTTAACTTATATGCAGAGCACATCATGACAAAGGCAGGGCTAGATGAATCAAAAGTTGGAATTAAGATTGCCGGGATAAATATCAACACCCTAAGATATGCAGATGATACCACTCTAATGGCAGAAAGTGAAGAGGAACTAAAGAGCCTCTTGATGCAGGTGAAGAAGGAGAGTGCAAAAGTTGGCTTGAAATTCAACATTAAGAAAACCAAAATCATGGCATTCGGCCCTCTCAATTCCTAGCAAATAGATGGGGAAGAAATGGAGGTAGTGACAGATTTTATTTTTCTGGGCTCAAAGATCACCTCAGATGGGGACTGCAGCCAAGAAATTAAAAGACCTGGAGATGAAAGCTATGGCAAATTCAGACAGCATACTAAAAAGCAGAGACATCACCCTGCCAACAAAAGTGCATATAATCAAGGCCATGGTTTTCCCAGTTGCAATGATGGATGTGAAAGTTGGACTGTAAGAAAGGCTGAGCGACAAAGAATTGAGGCCTTTGAACTATGGTGCTGGAGAAGACTCCTGCGAGTCCCTTGGAATGCAAGGTGTTCAAACCGGTCAGTCCTAGAAGAGATCAACCCCGACTGCTCTTTAGAAGGCCAGATCCTGAAGTTGAAACTCAAATACTTGAGTTTCAACTTCAGGATCAAATGAGAAGGAAGGACTCACTGGAGAAGGGCCTAATGCTGAGAAAGATTGAGGGCAATAGAAGAAGGGACGACAGAGAATGAGGTGGCTGGATGGAGTCACTGAACCAATAGGCGTGAACTTAAATGGACTCCAGAAGATGGTAGAGGACAGGAAGACCTGGAGGAACGTTGTCCATGGGGCCGCAATGGGTCGGACATGACTTCACAATTAACAACAACAATCCACGGTAGGATGAAGGCCTTTTCCACACGTTTCCAACCAAAACTGTGCTGAGCTTTCTTTTGCCAATTTGGTCCGTAGTATTTGCTGATGTGGTCAATCAATCTTGTTTTAGGTCTCTTTTGTGGATGCTTTTTATCAAGTGGGATCCATTCTATGACTGCCTTAATCTATCTGCCATCAGTTTTTCTTGCCATGTGACCAGCCCATTTCTATTTCAATTCTTTTTCTCTCTTGATGATGTAGTATACTTCCGTTTGTTCTCTAATCCATGTGCAAGTCCTTCAATCTTGTCGTGTGATGCCGAGCATGTATCTTTCTATGGCTTTTTGCGCCACTCATAGCTTTTGTAATTGATTGTGAGGTGAGTGTCCATGTTTCACCGGCATATGTTAGAGCACGTAGCACACACTGATGGAAAACTTTTCTCTTCAAGCCTAGGCAGTTGTTCTTGAAAATTATGCTTAGTTTGCCGAATGACTGCCAACCACATTTAATAAGCGATTCAATTTCCTTTATTGTATTACCTTCCATTGAGATCCGTTGGCCATGGTATATATAATGGTCTACTATGTCTAGTTCTTCTCAGATATAATTTTTTTTCTTTCTTTGGTGAATTTCCCTTTATATAATTCTCTTTATGTAATTTAAACTGATAATTTCCTATTCTGCTCTCTGAGATAATAGGGAACAGAATTTGACCTTCTATACCAGTGGTTCTCAACCTTTTTTTTCTGGTGCCCCTGGTCATAAGGACACGGCACGCATGCATGGCGGCATCCCCATGCACGCTGCGCATGCGTGGCAGCGATCCCATGCGTGGTGCATGTGCGCGGCGGCGTCCCCATGCACGGCGCACATGCGCGGTGCCGCCAGCTGACAAAAAAATGGCGGATCGTGTTGTTTGGCGACCCCCGTGAAATGGTCGTTCGATCCCAAATGGGGTCGTGACGCACAGGTTGAGAACCGCTGTTCTATACAGACAATTTTCAATTGCTGGAGAAAATATATACATTTTCCAGCCAGGAATTACACTGAGCATTAGGCCTACCATACTGTTTATTTTAACTAGCTAATGGAGACATACGCTTCTGGTGTAATGTTACTTCTAGTCTAGTGTAACCTTATTATTACTTTTTAATATTAGCAGTTTATTGACTAATATGCTGTATGTATTATAAACTATAGAGTCCAATTGGAATGAGGAACGAAGAATAAAACAAAACATGCAATGCAATGTCTTATGCAGTTCTCAAGCTAATGAAAATTGCTTACCTGTGATCTATATCCATGGATAATATTTTTAATGACTCAAAATTGTTTACTCCAGAGCACATCTGATTGCTTTCTCCATGCTGTGACTACTATATCAGACTTGCAGAAATCCTAAAGTTCACTAGATGGTAGCAACACATTAAGAGGGTTTTTTTAAATCTCCTTGCTACCATTTAGTGATTATCTGGGACTTTGGCTTTGCAGCTCAGATATGCTAGCTGTAACCATTGGGCAACCTCATATTTTAAACCACAATTCCCATCTTCCTCAGCCAATTTGATGGAAAGCTGACATATGGGTTCTGCTCCTGCTTCTACGCAAAACTGTTCGAAGAAGTAGTTTATGAAAACGAAACATACCCCGAGAAGGCAATGCGTATGCAAGAACGGAAATTATTTTTTGACTCACTCACATCTCACTATTTACGACGACGCCTGAGGAGTAAAAAGAAAGGGAAAAAGAAAGGGGGCCATTATCTTTTCCAGACGCGCTCCTCATAATAGCTCGGCACAGAAGAAACAGAGTTAGAAACTGCCTGGGACATAATCTCGCTAGCTTGTACTAGACTGGAGACTGTTTCTCGGATCTTTCATTTTATTCCTTTGTTTAAGGTTTCATTGCGTTGCCTTCCGCTGCCGAGAAACTCTGAATACAGGGACTGTAGTAGCCGGGATTTTAATTGAATCTGACGTTGCTAGGGAAAGGGGCAGAGTTGATCGCTGAGGGGAAAGACCGGCGTCCGACCAAGCAAAAGCAGCTGCAAGGGATCCTTTGGCGGAGGCGACCCTCTTCCTCCTCTCCCTGCCTGGTGCGCGAGAGGGATCCGGGGGCGTGAGGGAGGCAGGTCGAGCGCATTCGTGATCGGATCGAAGGAAAATGGCGGTAGCCAGCCGGAGGGTGGCGAAGGTAAGCAGGTGACGCGGAGGTCGGGAGACCCTTTTAGGGCTTCGAGGCATCTCGAGGAAGGCGGAAGGGGCGCGGAAGGAGAGGCAGGTTGTGCTTCAGAAAAGGTCGCAAGCGATTGAGGTTGCTAAGACGCGCCTCTTTTGAGGAGGAGACGAGGGGTCTCGAACCGGCACCTTTGGGGCAGCCCTCCGACATCTCCAGGAGGAAACAGTAAGAGATGTTTGCCAGGCAACCAGGCAGTTCCGGAGGCTTAATCGGGATGGGATGGGCAGGCAGTAGCAGACTCCGGCAAGCTGCCCCTTTGACGGGGTTTACTGTGCGCCTTTTATTTTTAGAGAGTTTCGGCAGAAAATGTTTAGCTTCAGTCTTTAAATACTTAGCTTCAGTTTTGGCTGGGAGAGCTTTAACGGGATGCTCTCCGATATGTGGGCTGGAGGAGCATCTGTCTGGACTGTCCTCGCATGTTTTAATAATTTGGTGCCCAGGATGCGTCCTTTAGAGCCGGAGAGGGATAATTTTGAGACTACTGGCTTCGGGTAGCCCTATTTTGAAGGAAAATGCTTGAACCGAAGGCCGCCAGGGAAAAGGAGCTTTCGGTTTCGTTTACTGTGGGCTGGAAAGCTTTGCGAGGGAGGAGGGAGGAGGAAACAGAACCAAACTCAAAAGCTGTCTGGAGAATGTGAAGTGATCTGCGACTCAGAAACGCCATAAAGCGGATCTGTGCGCTACTAGATATAAGCCATTGCATTTTACAGTGACCTGAAAATGAAAAGAAGAGTCGCTCCGGATTCATTGGATTTCAACTCACAAAATTCCACCTTAAATCCAGGATGAGAGCACTAGGTTGGGGGAAGCCTAGCATAGAAACATGCCAGCGTTGCTGGAAAATGTGTCCAGCTGCTGTCAGCATTGGTTTTGGAACTATTTTGTTTTGTGTGTGTGTGTGTGTGTGTGTGTGTGTGTTTTATATTATTATTGTTGATCATCTCACAGTCAGCCAGATGTTCAGACTGGATTTGGCATTTTTGTCTACCTTGTCTTACCAAGGACCGGGGATAGGCATCATCGTCATCGTTATTGTTATTATTACTATTACTACTATTGTTATTTTGTTCATTTTTGTCTTTTCAGGAACTTGATATCATTAAAAAATCAGAGTTACGATGCTTCCGGGATATTCAAGCAGATGTGACCAATATTCTCCTTTGGAAAGGACTTCTAATGCCGGTGAGCTCAAGGGAGCTAAATAAGAACAATTGTGACTGAGAGCTTGCAGGAAATTGCAATGTACCTGTCAGAATAAAGTAACATGCTGATTTGGGTTGTCATGAAAACACCATTAAGTATCAGAGTCTTAGTGGAGTGGATTACATTTTCAACTTGGGGTACTAAACGGCTTTACTTGTTCACCATTTGGGAAGGGGCTGACATCTTTAATTCTTTAGTTTGGTCTGCAAGGAAAACTGCATTCCCTAGCCTCCTGCTATGAATCATGCTTGTTCCTGTCCTTATACCCAGGATAATTCTCCATACAATAAAGGAGCCTTCTGGATTGAGATAGAATTTCCATGTGAGTATCCACTCAAGCCTCCCACTATAACCTTCAAAACCAAGATCTACCACCCCAATGTGGATGAGGAGGGTAAACTCTGCCTGCCAATCATCAGCAAGACAAACTGGCAGCCTTATACAAAGATGGACCAAGGTATGACATGGGCTGGATGGATAGAACTGGGGCTGCTGGGTGGCTTTTATTCAATTGCCATTTTGTGTATGTTTTTCTCTGCTTCAAGGAAGTGTCACTTTTATTCTTTTCTGTAGTGATTCAGGCCTTGATCCATCTGCTAAATATGCCTGAATTAGAAAGGCCGCTACGTCCAGACTTGGCCAAGGAGTTCAGGGAAGATCATGAGAAATTCCTGTTACGGGCAGAAGATCACACCAGCAATTTCAGTGAGAAGCGACCGTGCGAATGAACTATTCTCCCTGACTGGAGTCCGCCTTACATAATGCCCTATTTTATTTTTTTTAGCCCCACAAATCTTTGTCTACTAACAAGATGATAGAGAAGAAGAACCCACAAAAAATGTGCATGATGAAAACTTGGATTTTTCTGACATTAAAGCCAGAACTATTCATTTGGGAAACATTCATACCCTTGAACAAACATAGATTCAAAGATGAGACACGGATTCATTTTATTAAGTTAAAGATCTGTGCCTGAATATGAATGAAAACTTGTGTTGCTTTCCCCATCCTGAAGCTAAAATCTTATTTCTCGAAAGGGTAGTTCTGGCTTTAAAGTCAGTACTGGATTTCAATAAATTTCAAATCAAACTGAAGAGATGACACAGTTTTCTAAAACAGAACAATATTTTCCTCCAAAAGAGCAGAACAAATTAGGACATTTGCAAAGTTTCAGGAGTACATCAGAGAAGTAGAGTTAGAATTCCACAGAGAAAACTTAAAGTAATAAGTTTTCTATTTTCCAAATACAGAAAAACTGGGTTGATAAGAGGAGGGGAAAAACTGAGAGATTTGCTGTGAAAGCAAAGAATGACTTATCAGGAATAGACCAATAGGAATGTTTCTGGAAAAAACAATATGGCATGTGATGCTTTGCTATATGCCATTCCCTTGCTAGAATATTTACCTTGGATGAAGAAAATAAACACATTCTTAATTCTTTCTAATTTATTCTTCCTTATATGTTTCCATTTTCATAGTCACTCCTATAATACTTCAGGATTGTTTCCAAATATTTCCTTTTTGATTCAAAGTTTAATTGATTTAATGTATCGCATTTTCTCTCTTTTTTTCTTAAGCTTTAGTAATTGCATAGGTCAGTGGTGGTGAACCTATGGCATGGGTGCCAGAGGCGGCACTTAGAGTCCTCTCTGTGGGCACATGTGCCGACGCCCCACTCCTAGGCCTTCAGCTGGGTTTTATAAAACCTTTTCGCTTTAGGCCTCCGCCGTGTGCAAAAAAAAAAAGTTCAATCAATCAATTTCAACTTCTTGCGAGAAAAAAAATCTTGCACAGTTGGAATTGATTGATTGAACTTTTTAGTCCCACCCAGTCTGCTGTTACCACAGCAGCCACACCCAGCCAATGGGCCACACTCAGCCAATGGGCCACACCCACCCGGCACCCAACAATGCATAAGTGGGTTTTGGGTTACAGTTTGGGCACTCAGTCTCTAAAAGGTTTGCCATCACTGGCATAGGTTGTGTTGCTTTTTAACTCCCTACCCCATCATCATGAAATTATACTTTGAGCTGATTTTCTGTTCTGTAATAAATGTAGACTATAATTTATTGCAAATAATGATACAATACTGCCATTACAGATTCTTGGTGTCTTATTGTTTTCTTTTTATTTGCTGTATGTGAATTTGATTCTAACAACTAACAACTGTTAACAATGCTTGTGGCTTCCCAAACATATGTATTGTTAACAAAACATCATTGTGTAACTGATTGTATTGGTATGACATCAGTTTTGTATCGGTAGGCAAAGCTTGTAAGCAAAGCACATAAGTACCCCTAGAAAGCAAGAAAGGGATCATTATTTCAGGCATTATTTTTTGCCTGTTTGAAGTTTCTTCTTGCTACAATGAATCAAATATCCAGTATTTGCTAAGGAGCAGTTCTGTGAAGTGTAACAGAATTTTGCTAATCGTGGTATGTCTAGTTCAGGGGTCGGCAATCATAAACACTCAGAGAGCCACTTGGACCTGTTTCCCACAGGAAAAAAAAAAAACACTGGGAGCCGCAAAACTCACGTGCACATGTGTGCACGCCAGGGGGGGGGGCTTGATTGAAGAGTTTAATTAAAAAGAAATAGGTGCTGTGCATGAGTTCTCTCTCCTCTCTTTCCCTCTCTTTCTCTCCCTCTCTCCCTTTCTCTCCTCTCTTTCCCTCTTTCTTTCTCTCCCTCTCTCTCCCCCCCTCTTCCTCTCTCCAATCGTCTGCTCACCTGGCAAGCTGGCTTCACGCTATTCTGCAACAAGCTGACACACATCACACACAGACAGAGAGAGAGAGAGAGAGAGAGAAGGAAGTGCAAGTGCCTCTGTCTCTGTCTCTGCAAATTGCAGAGGAGGCTGGGAGCCGCAGGAGAAGGCTCAAAGAGCCGCATGCGGCTCTGGAGCTGTGGGTTGCAGACCCATGGTCTAGTTTAATAAAAAGAAGGACTGAGGATGACATAATAATGTTCCAATATTTGAGGGGTTACCACAAAGAAGAGGGGGTCAACCTATTCTCTAAAGCACCAGAAGGCGAGACAAGCAGTGGATGGAAACTAATCAAGGAGAGAACCAACCTAGAACTAAGGATATATTTCCTGACAGAACAATTATCAGTGAAACGACTTGCCTCCAGAAGTTATGGCTGTTCTAACACTGGAGTTTTTTGAGAAGAGGTTGGACAACCATTTGTAGGGTTTCCTGCTTGAGCAGGGGGTTGGACTAGAAGATCTCCAAGGGCCCTTCCAACTCTTATTCTGTTATTCTGGTGGAGGTGTTAAGAAAGTATCGATCAGATTTTGAGAAACCTCAGTTGGGGTGGAGTGGCCATAGAAGACAGCTATTGTACATCTCTAGAGAGGGCTCTTGAGGAGGCAAAGCAAGTCTATTCTGATGCTTTCCCTCCTGTTCCAGTGCTTAAACGTGGGCCAAAATACAAGCAGTGATTCTTGGTCAGTGCGGTGGGATTGGGGGCTGCTGTTGTCTAGTTGAATCATTCTCATAAATTACAATGATGTACACCATCCGGTGTTCAGTATCTCCAAAGATAGTATTAGTTACTGATACTGCTAGGTATCTATTAAGAGTATTACAAAGGGGAAGTCAGAAGCAAAATGTTCACCTACAGTGTTTTCAATAGTGCTACTTTCTTGGCTTTTTGTGGTATCTTTAAATAACAAGTAGTGGAAACTCTGGCACTTGGTGCAGAGATTCAAAAAGATCTCTAAAATCCTTTTCCTTATTACAGTGAGGGAAAAAATATTTGATCCCCTGATCAAATTTTGTACATTTTCCCACTGACAAAGAAATGATCAGTCTATAATTTTAATGGTAAGTTTATTTTAACAGTGAGAGACAGAATAACAACAACAACAAAAATCCCCAAAAATGGATTTCAGTGGATCAAATAATTTTTTCCTTCACTGGTATCAAAATAAGAATAAAGCTGTACAGTTAATGCTCGGTATATCAATGATGAAGAATTACCCATAAAAAAATCCAATATATTTAAAGGGTTAATTCTTCATCAGTAATATCCTGAGCACTATTTGTACAATTTTTGTAACTTCCTTGTCCACTTACTGGTACTACATTTTTGCATCAATTCTTTTTTGTTCTTTTTCCTCTTTCACTTATTCCAACAAAAAAACAGTTGAAAAACTATCTCCAAAGATTATACTGTTTTTATTTTTAGTATATTCAGCATATCTGACCTAGGAGAGAAAAAGCAGTGAATTACCTCTCATTACTCAGCAAGCACAGCTCCTTTGGGCTTGAGCTGAATGGCTTCAGGTAGCACGAGTCTCACTGAGGCACGTGGCTGTTGAACCTTCTTAGAGTAGGACTTTAGCAACAGAGCAGAGTAAACCACTAGATCAGGGGTCCTCAAACTTGGCCACTTTAAGATTTGTGGACTTCAACTCCCAGAATTCCCCAGCCAGCCATGAGGACCCCTGCACTTGATCTTGCTTTCCTAGGACTTTCCTACACTTGCTTTCTTTTCAAGCTCCCTTCTTTTTAAAGTAAGTTCCTCTTCTGAATGTACTTGCATTGGCCACCAGGAAATAGGCCTAAAAAAGGAGTATGTATTTCTGCAAACTAAAATGCCAGCGTGTACACTTGTCTTTTGATTTCAATAAATAAGAAACAGTTTGCAGCCCTCCTTCCTCTTTAGTTCAGCCTTAAAGCCCTCCTCCTTCTCCTTTCCCCTTTCTAAATGTGGTGTGTTTATATTTAAAAGTGGGAAGAAGAGGCAAAGTGGGTAGGTTTTTTTACTCCAAATTAGATCCTGTTTGCCATCTTGTAAAATGAGCTGTCTTCTGAACAATTTCAACTTGTTCTTCCCCCAAGCCCTTCCAAGCTGCTGAGAACAGAGCAAAATCACCACATGTAAATCTCTGCCTCCAGAGAGGTTTTTCATTGCCACACATTGAAAGCTTTGTCATTTGATGTTTGCCCAGCACTTTTCCTGTAAACCACAAAGGAGGGAATCCCCCGTTCCCTCCAGTCAGCTTGTTTATTCTTAGCCTCTTATCTGCACAGTATGATTTCTTTGCTCAAAGTTCAATGGTTTGGTGAATAGCTGAATGCAGAGGAGCTTATTTCTTAGTAAACAAAAAATAAGATTGGATCACATATGCTGCGCTACTCAAACCATTCTAATATGCCTGGGCAGCTACTTTAAACAGAGAACATGTTTGCATTCTCCCTTGGAAACCACGCCGTGGAAAACAGAACGCAGCATAAAAATACTGTGTGACAACCTTGACTTGGTACCGTTGTGCTTTAATGATACCGGTGCCTGGTCAGGGAAAGGGTGATTGCAGCATGGGTTGCAGGAATACTTTTGCAACCCAAAAAGAGGATGCAGAGTTGCTGATGTTAACATCTTGACGGACACACTTCTTCTGAGTCTCGTGCATATGAGGCAGACTCAGTTCTGCTCTGCTTGAAATGCTGACATGCATCAGTAAGCGTTCCTTTCCTGCTCTTTTCAGGTGGCAGAAGGGTGGTGCATAGCAGATTTTAGTGCTAGTGAGGGTTAAGTAGTAGTAGTTGGTTCCAGTGCCATGCTCGGAAAATTGCAGAATATTTACATCCCATGTTGCATTCCCTCTGAAAAATTAAAAAAAAATATATCCAAATTTGAGGTCTCTTGGAGAAAACACAGAAGCCAAGCCTAGTTTCCCAACAACTGTTATGATTTCTGCAGGGTTTCTAAGCAGGTTTATAGGCCAGCCTACCTGACAATTGGGTACAGAAGAACCACACCCCCTATGTTTCTTTGAAATCCTATAAGCTTTAATGTGGAAAAGATCCAGCTGTTGAATAAAGTCTTTTCCCAATCTAGAATCCTCCACATGTGTTGGACATCTTAGTGCATGAAGTCTCATATCTACAGGGCAGTCAATGCCAGAATTGTTGTTAGTTGCGAAGTTGTGTCCAACCCATCGCGACCCAATGGACAACATTCCTCCAGGCCTTCCTGTCCTCTACCATCTTCTGGAGTCAATACCAGAATACTGTGCTGCTTTTTGCCTGGGACCATTCTTCCACAAGTAACTGTCTTCATGTGCCATTTTTACTGCACCAACATGCACTAGACCTCTAAAATTCAGCTGGAAGTGGAAACAGCAACATTTATTTTATTTCTAGATATTCTGTTTATGGTCTTGCAAGCCAAAATGGCTTATCTTCCCAGTAATAAGAATGTTAAGATTCCCTACCATTAAGATGGACTTTTCTAGTGATGAAAACACTTTTAACATCTTTAAGTATTTCATAATCATTCATGTATTGATCTTTGTCATTTTTCTACCGACTAAAGTAGCAACATCATCAACAGACATTTCCATTTAAGGTGACACAATACTATAGTACTTGGTAGCTAATAAACTAACATGGCATGAGGGAATTTGAGATCACCGAAGGAAAATATACTATATCCCAATAAGAGCATCATTCCCAAATTCTTAGGGTAGGACAATAACATTGGTTATGCCAAACAACAACAACAACCACATGATAAGATTTTGAAGGAATATGTTGAAGATTTTTAAACTAAATATGAAACTTTAATTTTTTAACCTACTACCTAAGCACGTGTAGGTGTTCTAAGCTTGATCTGGAAGATGGAATAATTTAAAAACAAGACTAAAATTCTTCTTTTCCATGTGCTGCAAATGAGCAAGAGGTCAACTCTTCTATTATTTTCCATTCCTTTTGGTTTTATCTAGTTGCACTTAATGTGATTCTAGAATTTGAAGGAGATAGTCCTCTTTGAAGATGAGAACCACAGAAACCCTCTTACCTGTCCCACCAAATTTTTTTTTGGCTTCCAATGAGCCTCAAGCCAAAGCCTGCTTTGCATTTCTATTTCTTCTTGGTCTTTACTAGCCCTTTCTCCACCAAGCTGCGATAAAGTTCCTGGATATAGGTGTAGATACACTTATTATCAGGAACACTCATGTGCACCATGTCATCCACCTCCAGAAGTTGAGCACAGTCTGCATATTTCCTGGAAAAAGATGGACAAATGATCAGCTCTGCTGCATACCTCAATGATTTGGCAAAGCAGCTTAAATATAGCCCTTCATCATCAGAATTAACAAGAGTTAACAAGCCTTATTCTAGAAAATTGGACCAGGATGCAAAGATCTCCAAAATCACAGTGAAGTCCAAGAAGGTAGTTAATTTGAACCTCTTGCCTTTTTAAGTTGAATAGATTTCATTATAGCACAAGAGCAACACTGAAGACACCATAAATCACTGAAATTAACTATTTTGAAACTCTGGGTTGCATATTACAAATGCAGAACCTACTCTTGCTTTTGATTATTTGACTATCATTTTCCTTTGTCCAATTATCTAGCAAGGGCTCTTGCTTCTTCAAGGCTGGCTATTCAAAGGCTTTAAATTCTTTCCTTCAGAGCTTAATGTTATCTTGAAGCTTGACATTTATTCAGCATCATCAGTACATTAACTGATTTAGCAACTTTTAAGGGGTATCCTCAAATTGTTGTTGCTGCTTGGTTTGGGTCTGCTGTGTTTTAAAAATGTGCTGCTTTCCTTCATATAGTAGATAATTACTGATTATTATTTATGATGGTTGTATGCTACCTCCAGGTTCAGAGGTACAATAGTGTGCATGTCAATACCACCACTGAAGGACAAGTGGGAGGTTGCTTCTCAAGATTTACGTTTAACTATTGAAGAACTATTGAAGGTGTGTTGATTTCTTGAAATTTCCTGTTTTATCATGCTTAACAGTTGAAGGTTGATCAGCTAAGACATAACTAATTTTTCCTTGTGAAGCAGTCCCTATAGTGTTAAAGGAAGCAGTTGTCAAAAACTCCTTAGCTAGCAAACCTCACTAATATGTCCATTATAACTATTTCTTGTTGAAACAAGAGTTGCTAACAAATAAAAGATAATAACTCCAGGCTTTTAAAACTCTACAGACTGGTTTCAGGCTTAGCTTTGGGCTGAAATTTCTTTTTGAATCTCTGTTCTGATATTGCTAATTCTCATAGATGTTCAGTAGCTGGATGTTTCAATACTTCTGACTATAGTTATATTCCTGGTCCTGGCTATCTGAGAAGAAATATGGGTCAACCCAAAGAAAGTGGGAAACTACCGTAATAGCAGATAACTTTATGGATTGGAGAAATAAAAGTCAGTCTCTTTGTAAAACCCTGTATTCTTTTAAAATTCAGATTCTCAGCTTGATGGATCTATGTGAATCTTAGCTGGGGATGTCTAACTGCTAGGTAGGAGCAAATAAATAAATAAATAAATAAATAAATAAATAAATAAATAAATAAATAAATAAATAGTCATTGGCAGACACCCCTGAATACTGTAAAGATAACTAGGCCATTGTCATCTATGTTTTTCTTACAGCAATAAGATTAGACTATTGCAGTCTGCTGCATTTAGGGTTGCCTAGGGAGATTTTTCACAAACTTTAAAACTGATCCAAAACATTGCTGCTAAATATAGATAGGATTGGTGGTTAGAAATACATGATGCCAAACTTTTAGCCACCAGTCAGTTTAAAAGGAAGCTTCAAGACTTCCATCTGTACCATCCCACATGGTACGGAGCTCAAGTAACAGAATAAAATCTGCACAACAGCATACAGTATGAAGATAATCCTATGTGCTTTTCTTCAGGTTTCCCTAGTTTTGAAGGCTATATGTGCCTCCCTGTGCTTTCCTCAGCCTGCTGCCTGGGTGAATGGGGGAGGAGGGGCCCTTTTGATCATGCTACAATTTTCATCCCTGTTAAAGTTGGCAACATTTACACATCTGTCAGTTTAATTGATCAGTTGTTGGACACGGTTTTGATCTTTGGTAACACTGTTATTTTGTATGAGCTGGAAGATAGGGCAAAATTACTTCAGAGAATAACTTTACATGTTTACCAACACCATGGTGCACTTTCTGGAGATTAGTACTCATCCCTGACTCAGCCTGCCCTACAGCTGTGGTGGTGTCCTGAGGTCTAAGATGGAGGGGAGTGCTCACTCAGCAGTAGAGAAGGCCAGGGTGAAATTCTCTTTCCGATTTCCTGGATCAAGGTTTGCGTAGTCAAAGGCGTCAGGAAAGAACTTGTGGATGAGGGCACAAAAAGCCATGCCACTTTTCCAACTGGTGGAAAAGTTCTGGATGTCCACATGCTGAAAATTAAAAAAAGAGATATTAGGCAGAAAAGGTCAACCACTTCTCCTTCTTAAGTTTTCCTGCACTAGCAGTGACTGAAACATTATTCCTGTCTATTCAATATAAATGTGTCATTCTGGTTAGAACACACACTATTGCGTTGGAACAAGTTGTGTGGTTGAATTTACTTACAAATGACATGAAACAGGTTACCTGTAAAAGTATGGCAGTAATTGGGGAGCATTCTGAATCTATATTATTGTGTTAACATCCTCCTCTTTATGAGCATTGTTAATTGTAACTTGGAAGTGAAAGGAAAAATTGTAAGGACATGGAGAATTAACTTACTGCCCCCATGTGTTCAGCATCCATACTTCATTTTACTTTTATATTTTAAAATTTCACATCACCATTGCTGTTTGTTTTAACCTTGGAAATATTGCTGATTAAGATTCGAGAATCACAGCAAATAAAAGGAATAGAAGTTAATAAAAAAGAATATAAATTAAGGGCTTTCACAGATGACTTGGTGGTTACCTTATCTCAACCTACTTATTCTGTAATAGAGTTATTACAATTGATATATCAGTATGGACAGGTTTCGGGTTTTAAAATTAATAACAATAAGACTAAAATATTGCCCAAAAATATGACTAATTTGGATAAGCAGATTTTGGTTAAGTTGACAGATTTTGAGGTCGTCAACAAGGTAAAATATTTGGGGGTTATTTTATCTGTTTCTAATGCAAAATTGTACAAAAATAATTATGAAAGGCTGTGGGTCAATATACAAAGAGATTTGGAAAATTGGGAGAAGTTGCAATTATCTCTTTTGGGAAGAATTGCAGCGATTAAAATGAATGTTTTGCCAAAGTTTCTTTTTTTATTTCAAATGATACCTATTTTAAAGAATGAGGTTAATTTAAATGAATGGCAGAAAGGTATTAACAAATTTATCTGGGCAGGGAAAAAACCAAGAGTAAAACTTAAAATTATACAAGATATTCGTGAGAGAGGTGGACTCAAGGTACCGAATTTGAAATTGTATTATGATGCTGTGGTTTTAACATTAATAAGTGATTGGGTTAATTTAACAAATGTAGAAATATTCCTCTTGGAGGGTTGGGATTTACTTTTTGGATGGCATGCCTATCTAATTTTTAATAAAAAGGTTGATAGGGTCTTTAAATCTCATATTATAAGGATTTCTTTACTTCGGGTTTGGAGGAAATATTATAGAAGTGATTTTAAAATTCCACTATGGGCTATACCATGGCATGCGATAGAAGGGATAAGGAGAGGAGTTAAGTTGGATAGTATTTCTTATATACAATTACTTAGATGGGATGGTAAAAATTGGCAGTTAAAATCTTTGGAAGATTTAACACAAGAAAATATTATTTATTCATGGTTTCAGTATAGACAAATAGTGGAGAGGTAGAAGATAGATCGTAATGTGGGTTTGCTTAGAGAAGATGAGAATTTGTTAAAACAAATAAAAGATCAAAGACGAACTCATATTAAGAGAATTTATGGGGTGTTAGTAGAATTGGATTCAGAAGCAGAATTAGTTAAAGAATGTATGGTTAAATGGGCACAAAATTTTGATGAACCGGTTCTATTAGATACCTGGGAAATTATTTGGGTGAGGAATGTTACATTTACACAAGCCCAAAATTTAAGGGAAAATTTTTACAAAATGTTTTATAGATGGCACCTTGATCCACAAAAAATGTCTCGTATGTATCCTGACTTACAGCCTAAATGTTGGAGATGTGGATGTTTGGATGCTACTTATTATCATATCTGGTGGTCATGTAAAAATATAAAAGCTTTTTGGATTAAGATATGGTGGAATATCCAAAGAATTTTTAGAAGAAGGGTAAAATTTACCCCACAATTGTTTTTGTTAGGTATTGTTTCTGATTGTGATACTAAAGAGACTATATTGATGTTAAATTTAATTACAGCGGCAAGGTTGTTAGTAGGGCAATGTTGGAAGAAGGAATCTTTGCCTACCTTGCAAGAGTGGTTTTTTAAAGTTTCTTATTTGGCGGAAATGGCAAAGATTTCGGCTTTCTTGAAAGACCAATCGCAAGAGAAGTATTTTTTGGTATGGAAAAAATGGATAGACTTTATACAATATAAGTTGGATATAAAAAAATATTATTTAGCTTTTCAATAACTTATATTTAAAATTTAAGATATTTTATAGACTTTATAGACTTTCCTTTATTTATTTATTTTTTTATTTCTTTCCTTTTTCTTTCTTCCTATCTTCTTGTATTTCCTTGTATTTTTGTCTTTTTATACATATATTATTGTTAACTATTTTACAACTTGTTTAATTAATGTATTTAGATTTGTTTATGGTTTATATCTGTTTTAAGACTTTTTGAATTTTTTTTAATTAAGCCTGTATTCAGCTCTGGGAAGGTCGGGGGATGGTATGGGAGGGTTGGGGGGGCTCGGGGAAGGGAACTGTATTGTTTTGTAAAATTTAAAAATTTTCAATTAAAAAAAAAATTCACATCACTTTTCCATCATTTCTCTCTCAGTAATCCTTCAAGCCTGCCTGCATTACAGGTCATGATTTATGAAGCCGACCATTTCTATACATAAAGTACATTGCATGTAGCGATGGTTTCATCTATGCTGCTGTGGATGTTAGTGCTATTGTGACAGATCCTTGTGTTTTGTAGTACATGAATTATCAACACATATTTCACCATTTTCACTGGGTCCTAACAGTTTTGTTAAACGTGAAGTATTATAACTCCAAAATATCTTACAATCTCAATATGTGAACTACATAATCTTTCAACTGAGATTTTGGAGTTCATAACTCATTCTCTTAACTCTTTGAATGAAATTCAACATCTGAATAAAAGGCATAATGAGAAAATAGTACAGGCTAAGATTGCACACATGAATCTTCATATTTGCACGACAGTGTGTATGTGTTGGGTTAATAACTAAGAAATACCAACAGCACACAAAGAAGTACAGTATTTCCTGACCTAGTTCACAGAAAAGATTATCCTGCTACTTATGATCCCTCCAAGGCTTTGCTCTCCAACTTTGATCAAAAACAGGGCAAGAATTTAGAATACCAAAAAAATCTAGAAATGTCCCTGAGATTATATATATCAAAAAAACACAATACAAAAAAAGATGGCATTAGAGAGTGCTTTTTTTAAAAAAAAATCATAGTTTTTAACTATGGGTGGTGATGCTTTCTCAAATACTCTTAATAACTCAGAAAGATATATACTCACTTCTGAGAAAAAATATGCTGGAGTAAGTTTGTTGGAACTAGAGGAATACTGTCTTCACATCTCTTAAATTATGATAATCCACGTAGGTCTTCTTGCTGTTGCATTACTGGTGCCCCCTGATTTCGCCTTCCAAAGGAAATCAATTTGCCTATTTCACCCCCAGAAACATTTAAGGGCACTGAAGTAGTTCTCATTTCACAGTTGATACCTTACTTCATAGCCACGAGTCATGGCCCGACACCATTCCAGCAACATGGTCTTCACAGTATTTGTAGCTCCACTCCTCTTGATATTGGGGGCAGGACCAGTTGCAGCCCTTTGGAAGATCATTAAGGGGAAGGAAGGCAGGGAATAGGATGGTAGAGAATAAACAAATGTATTTTTAATCCTATGAGATTTGGCTGGTGTAATTCCCTTTTTCCCCCTATTATTTTCTGCTGAACATCTGGTGGGACAGAGATCTGCATGATTTGTAGCAATATCTGCTATCTAATCTGATTGTGTAAATACCTATACATTTTATAATCTGTGCAAGAGAAACTCTTGGTCAGGGCAATTTTTTTTCTAGAGGTGTTGAATATGGTTGCATTCTGATGGGCTTGCCTGACTGGTCAAACACTTCTGGAATATAGTGGTGTGGGCTTTCACTGTCCAAGAACTGTGGATCTAGTCACATTTCTTAAACATGTCCTCCTACAAATGGTCTTGGATGATAATTGTAGCCAGTGCTGTCTTGCGATGATGGATACTGCTTGGGGAAGGCTGGGTTTTTATATTGTGGTAAACCAAGTATGAGTTACTCTTAGCTCTCCAGGGATTATAGAGTTTTTCTATGTTAAGAGCAGAATTGGGTGATACAGTGAGGCAAACAAGGCAGTACTGTATGTACTACATAAATATATGTACCTGGAATTTTTGGATTTTCTTTCTGGATTGGGGGGATTGTTTTTTAAATGTTAAAGTATACTGTGTGACGAATATGCTCCATTTACATTGCAAGATACCTTCCTTTTATTGAATGGCCCTTCAATAAAGCAGCAGTAGCATATAGTAGAGTTCTAAACACTTCCTTAAGAGCTTTGGAAAATCAGATTTGGTTTTTTTGTTTTTGTTTTTGCTAATCTCTCACTTCAGTTATGTGTGAAGCACAGTTTCGTTCTTTGCTTTCTCATTGAACAGAAGGCTTGTCATACCCTTGTCTCATAGCTTATGTTTCAGCCAGCCAAACTTGGAAAAAACTTCTCAAGTGCAGTTATGTTGGTATGAAACCATACATTCCTGCCAGGATTTGTTGGAATACTATATTCCTCATTGATGCTAATCTGGCACCATAGAAGAAGAAGTCTTCTTTGGCTTCTCAGCATTGGCCAATAATTTCCCCCAAAGCAATCCATCCACTGCAATCATCCAGATAGTACACAAACACACACACACACACACACACACACACACACACACACGGAAACGGTTTTATATTATGTGTGTGTGTGTGTGTGTGTGAGAGAGAGAGAGAGAGAGAGATTAGAGTTAATTAGGTGATTATACACACACACACACACACACACACATATATATATTATATACATATACACATATATATACATATACATATACAGGAATACCACTAGAAAAAGTTGAAAGGATCACGCACCTTAGTTCCAATTTACATGAAAGTTGGGACATGACCGTTGAAGTAAAGACAAGGATAGAAAAAGCTCAAACAGCATTCTTCAAAATAAAAAAGGTCTTCTGCAGTCACGACATAAGCCCAAGACTGAAAATCAGGCTTGTCAGATGCTATATTTTTCTATCCTGCTCTATGGAGTAGAGAGTTGGTCTCTGACAGAAGGCCACCTGAAGAGACTAGAAGCATTTGAAATCTGGATTTACAGGCAGCTGTTATGTATGAGTTGGGTTGACAAGATCAGAAATGAGGAGGTAATAAGCCGCCTGGGAAAGCCAAGGGAAAACATCAAAACAATTAAAAAACGAAAGTTAGAATGTTTCAGACATGTGATGCGACACCCAAAAAATATGGCATACTCCATTTAATCCTCCAGGGAAAATTGAAGGCAAACTAGGTCCAGGCAGAAGAAGAATATCGTGGCTTCAAAATCTAAGGGACTGGTTTGGACAAAACTCAGCAGCACTTTTTTGTGCGGCTGCTGATAAAAACAAGATTGCCAACATGATCGCCAACGTCCGATAACGGATATGGCACAAGAAGAAGAAGATATACATATACATATACATATACATACATACATACATACATACACACACATATATATATATATATGAAGAGAAAAGGTTTTATATATTATATATGTGTGTGCGTGTGTGTGAGTGTGAGTGAATGTGTGTGATTAGAGTTGATTAGGTGATTAGAGTTTTGAGGCAGGGAGACTGAACTCTTTTTGACTGCCATTCATAGGTTGGTCTGCTTGTCTCAGGGCTCAGATGACTCTGGATATAAAGAGGTGAGCAGTGAATGGCCCTGAACTGGGCATTATGAGAAAGACATTTGGGAGTTGCCTCCTGTGAAAACAAAATGATGGCACTGAAGCACATTAAGGATGCTTTGCAAATGGAACAAATGATTGTCTGGTGGAACCTATTTTAAGGCTTATGTTAAATTATTCATTTGTTTTCAGTCTCAAAATGTCTGGAAACCATGCTGCAGAGTTTCATCGGTAAGTTGGGCAGGCCACATACAGCTGGGGAGATACTGCTTATTCCAGTGCTAAGACACACTGTAATATAATTGCCTTGGTTTTGGTTCACTGTAAGGCATAAATTTAGCAATTACGTTTTTGCAAGCCCAACTATAAAAAGGTATATCTGTATATCCATCAATAGGGCTGAACAAACTAGAGTGAAATAAGCTATGGCAGAACCTGAGACATCGTGGCCTCACCCTCCAAACTTCTCCACAATGGCTTTGCGAGACTGTCCCCTGGGTGGCATCCTTGGCCTGCTAATCTCTCTCCGGTCAAAAGCAGGCCTCTTCTTTTTCTCTTTGGCAGCAGCTGCTTCCTCTGGTGCAGCAGAAGGGGGCTCTTTCTCTCCCTTCAGGGCGGCTTCAGGGCTGAAAACCAGAAACAGAAACACACTGAGACTGAAGCGCTGGAGAAGAAGTGGCCCTGGGTGGGTCTCTGTCCTCGGCTTTCAGGCAGAGCTTCTCAGAAGAGATGGTGAGATCCCTTTCTGCCCACTCTGCAGTAAAGAATGCTAACAGTTTGGCTCGTGGTTCCCTGGAGAATCATTTTTAAAATTGCCATAATGTGAGGATCTGGGGAAAAGGATGGCAAAGAACCACTACCGTCTCCAGTTTTGACTTCTTCCCAATTTTTCTCAGAATAGAATAGAATAGAATAGAATAGAATAGAATAGAATAGAATATAGAATATAGAATATAGAATATTCTAGTCTTCTAGTCCACCCCCCTGCTCAAGCAGGAGAACCTATACCATTTCAGATAAGTGACTGTCCAGTCTCTTCTTAAAAACCTCCAGTGATGGAGGCCCATGACTTCTGAAGGCAAGCTGTTCCACTGGTTAATTGTCCTCACTGTTAGGAAGTTTCTCCTTAATTCCAGGTTGCTTCTCTCTTTGATTAGTTTCCAACCATTGTTTCTTGTCTTGCCCTCTGGTGTTTTAGAGAATAGTTTGACCCCCTCTTGTTTATGGCAGCCCATCAAATACTGGAATACTGATATCATGTCACCCATATTTCTTCTTTTCTTTAGACTAGCCAAACCCAGGTCCTGCAGCTGCTCTTCATTCACCAACCCAATGATTTTCTTTGCCCTTTCCAATTTTTTGAATGTTCACATCTTTATTAGCATCCTTCCTTCATTTGACCTTTCATATACTAGGGTCAAGTTCTAGCCCCAGCACCTCCAGAAGGCATCCATTTGGGAAGACTAGTTAATGCTTTGGGGGCCTGACATCATATGCCCAATTCATTGCTTTCGTCCAAGCCTTAAAGAGTTTTTTGAGCAATCAATTTATGGCCACAGAAGGGTATGTACTAGAAATCTGAAGTTCTTGATAGCAGTTTGAAGGCCAGGGTTTAACATTTGGAGGCAAGTGTTCATAAGGAACATTTGTCCTCACTGTTAATCCTTGTCCCATTTTGGTCATTCTAGTCATTGCCTATCTTTGATTTCTGAGTGCCCCCTGCAGAGTAAAAAGTGGTAATACAGCTTTTGAGATGGGCAGAACTGCTGCTTTCCATGATTTTCAGTCAATTGACAAGGATCCTTTTCACCCAGTGGTTTAACAAAAGGAGCCATTAACTCACCTCTGCTTTCTTCCTTCTGTATCTAATGATAGTCCTGAAGTGGAAAAAAAAAACTCGAGGAAGAAGTGTTTGTGTGTTTAACAGTAGGAGCTATATTTAACTCTGAAAATCAATCTGTTCCTCACTTCTTCCATTGTTAAGGGTATATTTATTTAGAAAATATACTTGCTGTCCATCTCATATGCAATGATTATGGGTATATCTTTTGTACCAAGTTCTGATAAGAGAGTGTCAGGCTTTTGGCTATCTCTCCCACTATATCTTGTCAACCTGAATCTTGCCCATCTCACGTGTAGCCCACCCCTCTAGAAAGCCTTCCAGAGATTATCTCACCTGGCGATATCCGCTGGAGCAGCTTCTGAAGTGGTAGTTGGTGGAGTAATGCCACCTAGATTGGATTACAGACATGTGGATTATTAGTTTTTCTTATCTGGTGAACAAACCTCTATCGCTTGTCTGAACTGCTGTGTCTTTAATCTCCTCTGTATCCATGTTTTGCAGTATAGAAAAAGCAGCAAAAGGTTTCATAAATCATTACAGGGAAATGGAGACGAGACCAGCCTCATGGGGACAGGGGGCACAATTGGGACTCCTGTTTACACTGCCATTAGCTGGTCGAGTTTTAAGAGAAATATCAGTGAAGGTCAGGAGAAAAATGTCTTCAGAAGGACAGTAATGCAGGAAGCTATGAAGTCTAGAAACATTGATTGTAGAGGATTTTGTTATTGTTGCTTCACTGGTAAAAAAAAATTAAAATGATTTACTCAAAATTAAGTTCCAGGCAGACTGTTTAGGACAGGGGTAGACAACCTTGGCTCTTTTATGACTCGTGGACTTCAACTCCCAGAATTCCTGAGTCAGCATGGAGTTGAAGTCCACAAGTCATAAAAGAGCCAAGGTTGCCTACCCCTGGTTTAGGATAAGAGGGGGGGGGAATTAATTTTCCCAAGGGGCTACATGAAAAACTGGGACTGCTGTGGAGGGCCACTGATGCTACTCTGCCCGTGGTGCCCCACTCTGCCACCCCACAGGCCTGTTCTAGGAGGTATTATTTGAAGCAATACATCCCAGTATGTCACTTCCACTTTTAGTCTATTCCCTCCAGCTTTAGTGTATTTGGCCTTCTCGGTTTGCTGAATGACATTTGCCTCACCTGTCTCCAAACCTTTGAGCTCTGTTGGGCTTTGTGGACTTGCTTCAGGAGAACGGGGAGGGAATTCTGGCCAGAACTCCTCCTCTTCCTCCTGGGCTTCTGGTGAAAGAGGCTCATCCGAAGTGCTGCCAGTTCTACCCTGCAGGTCGAGGAGGAAGAGGATGGGGAAGGTCAACCAGATTAATGTCTTCCTTTATTTCACTGGTTCTCAACCTGTGGGTCGGGACCCCATTTGGGGTCGAACGACCATTTCACGGGGGTCGCCAAACAACGCAGTCCGCCATTTTTCCCCCTTTTCCTTAGCTGTGCTACTCCCTTTTATTCTATTGGCTTTTGAAAGCCAATAGAATAGACTCTCTTGAATAGAGTCTAATTCTATTGGCTTTCAAAAGCCAATAGGAATTGTCCAGGCTGTCTCTGCCCTGCTGAGCCCGCCAAAAGTCCCATTCTGCAAACGGTGCTGCACCAGTTGAGTAGTCCTCGACTTACGACCGGTTGGGAGTCGCGGCATTAAAAAGGTTGAGAACCACTGCTTTATTTGATTTTCTAGATTTATAATCTGCCTTGCCTTCAGCCTCTCAAGGCAGCATGCGTAGCATTCTCTTCTCCCATAATAACTCCCCCCCCCCATTGTGATCAGGTTGGGCAGAGAAAAAGTGACTGTCCCAAAATCATCCAATGCACTTCCTTCGGTTTGGGATGCCCCAGTCTTCCCCAGTCTAAATCCATAAGCACTGCAGCGTCCTGGTTCTTTTGTTTGTAAGCTGACCCTATAAAGTTCTTTTTGTTGTTGTTGTGTACTCATACATTGATAAATAAAATGAACAGAAATGATAGTTTTGTGACTCGTGGACTTCCAACTCCCAGAATTCCTGAGCCAGCCATGCTGAGGGGAAAGGGAGAGGTTTCCAAGCTGAGCCATGCTGGCTCAGGAATTCTGGGAGCTGGGGTCCACGAGTCATAGAAGAGCCAAGGTTGCCTACCCCTGGTAGAGGTTCTCTTGCTTAGCAGGTGGCTGGATTAGAAGACCCGCAAGGTCCCTTCCAGCTCTATTCTATTCTAAGCTTCTACATACATGAATTTCCTGTTTCTATTGAAAATCTTCCTTGCTATTTTTCCTTTGTGCTTTCTAGCCTAAAGAGCAATAGTTTACCCAGTTTATACGCCTATTACAGGGCTGGAAATTCTTGACTTTTTCTAATCAGTTTCACAATGTAACCCAGGAATTACATTTCTCTTTCTAGCCAGTTTTATATATACAGTACTGCACCTTTTATAAACTCATCTGGCTAAATATAGTAATGGCAAAATCTCCTCGAAATTTCCTGTAGGCTTTCCTACAGTCGTTTTTCCAAAAGATGTTAGGAAGGCAATAATTAACACTAATGATATATAGATTAGTTTTGCATTTTCATCTCATTTTAAATAGTAGTAGAAAGGTCCTGCATAATTTGAGAGTTCTACAAAACTATAATGTAATTTTCATTTTTAAAAACTGCATCCAAAGTTTACCCGATTTCAGTCATAAGTAAATAATGCTAGTTTAAAGTGATTTCCTATCTTCATAAGCTCAAAGAAACCTCTAGAGTTGCTATGCATGGCAGAAAATGACTTAAGTCATTTGCAAAGCTTTGAAAGATTCTTTGCTTTAAAACTGTTTCTCTCCCATTTCTAAAATGTTTAGTTGCCATGTTACCTAGCTTGGTGTCCCTTCTGGAACCTCCTCCATTATTGGAAGTGCTGAAGAAGGCTTGAAAAGGAATACAAAGTGAGGTAATATACAGGCTCATGCTGTACTGTACTACAAAAAAAATATAGGAAAAGCTTCATACTATGTTACTGTAAATGCCGGCGTATAAGATGACTTCTGCGAGTGCTGAAATCGGCGCCAAAGATGGGGGTCGTCTTATACGCCGAGTCGTCTTATACGCCGGAAATACTGGTAGTTTCCGGCGTATAAGACGACGTTCTAGGAATGCGGCCCGGCTATAAAGACGGGGGTCGTCTTATACGCCGGGTCGCCTTGTACGCCGGCATTTATGGTAACTGAAGTGCCTCAGTGAGTCAAAGTACAGTTGGCTCACAATGATCTACTAAACCAGTGGTTCTCAACCTTTCTAATGCCGTGACCCCATAATACAGTTCTCCATGTTGTGGTGACCCCCAACCACTTATACATCACTGGGTGCCAGGGGCGTGGCCAAAGAAAAAGGGAAAAAAATGGCGGACAGCCTTGTTTGGCGACCCCCGTGAAATGGTCGTTCGACCCCAAATGGGGTCCCGACCCACAGGTTGAGAACCACTGTACTAAACTATAGAACAAGGACAAACTCCTTCCTTCCTTCCTTCCTTCCTTCCTTCCTCCCTCCCTCCCTCCCTCCCTCCCTCCCCCCCATATCTGAAATGCACAAGAGGAATTGTAATGACATTAAGATAATTCTGGAAAAAGTTGAAGAAGAAGTTATGACATTCTTTGAATGAGGACATTTGGTTTTGAAGGTTGGATAATATTAATCGATTGTTTTCTTATTTTGCAAGCCTTTATTTTTTGATGATTTGGTATCTAGTTTCAGTGGCGGAAAATCAACCATTTTTGGAGCTGTATGATAGTGGCTGGGAATAGTATGTATATGATGGATCATCTACTTAGGCTATAAAAAAAATATCCCACAATCTTCCCAAGGAAAAGTTCCTTCAATAGTAGTTTCCTATGAGGACCTGTGGAAGAATAAAATTGTTTCTTTTCTTTTCTGCCTTTACCAGATCTTAGAACAGTGTTTCCCAAACTTGACAATTTTAAGGCATGAGGACTTCAACTCCCAGAATTCCACAGCCAGCAACGCTGGCTGTGGAATTCTGGGAGTTGAAGTCCTCATGCCTTAAAATTGTCAAGTTTGGGAAACACTGCTATACTTCATTTATTCTGGGAGGTTTTGTGCCGAATGATAAGAATGGCTGGGAGTTGAAGTCCACATGCCTTAAAATTGTCAAGTTTGGGAAACACTGTCTTAGAAAAAATAGAAACAATGGTGAAGAAAACCTGGCAAATTACCGTATAAGTGTGTTGTTATTTAACAATTCTTTAACATTCTTTATGAATGGTTGAATAATAACACAGGTAGTTCTAGTTCTTTTAGTGATTGTTCAAAATTACAACAGCACTGAAAGTGACTTATGACGGTTTTTCACATTTAACAATCGTTACAGTATCCCCAGGATCACGCAAACAAAATTCAGATACTTGGAAACTGACTCATATTTATGACGGTCGCAGGGGCCCAAGAGTCATGTGATCACCTTTTCCTACCTTTTGAGAAGCAAAGTCAATGGGGAAGCCAGATTCACTTGATAACCATGTTACTAACTTAGCAATTGTCGTAGTGATTCATTTAACAATAAAAATTTTGAGCTCAGTTGTGGTCATACGTCGAGGACCACCTGCACAATAAAACTTGTCTTTCTGTAAGTTTTGTATTTGTATGTTGTAAACAGAAAATAAGCTGGCACGTATAGCTAAAGGGAGACAAATTAAAATTAGTGACAGACATAATATAAGTCTAGATAAGTGTGTTTTGTCTGTTTGCCAACCAACATGAAGTTACATAGACTAAAATAATGTGACATGAAAATGTAAGGGCTGGAAGGATAAAAATGTTCCTGATGTTTGATAGAAAAGAAGTATCAGGAGATAATACTCTTGAAAGAAAAGAAGCAAATGATTACAATTTGAAATGCATTCTGTTCTCACCTCTTCCTTGGCATTTTTCTTCAAAACATCAGCTTTCCCCCCTTCTTCTTCCTGTAGGTCTTCTGGTTTCCCAGAAACATCAGTTTTGGTCTCCGATACACCCTCAGATTCTGGTTGGCTGTTCTCTTTGACTATCTGCTCCTTCTGGCTTGCCTTGGATGCCGTTCCCTTTTCAGATTCAGAAGCCCCTTCTGCGGATTCTTCCTTCTGCTTTGCCTCAATTCCAGCAGCCTCAGTTTTCCCAGCCTCCTTCTCTCCATGCACCTCATTCCCAGCATCCCCTTTTGCTTTCTCTGCTTCATTTGCTTCATCCACCTCTTTCCCAGTTTCTTCTGCAAACTTCCTGTCCCTTTTCTCAGCAGTCTCTGCTTTTGCTGCCTCATTTCCCCCTTCAAATGCAGTTTCAGTCATTTCTGACTTCTGCTGCAGCCGGTTGATCTGCTGGTTCTTCTCTTGTTCCTTGGTATCTCCAGCCTCCATAGTACCAGGTTTCTCTGTTGTTTCAATGGAGTGCAAAGCAGGTGGCCTATTCACGCTCCACTCCTGGAAATATATATAAAGTGAAAAGAATAAACACAAAATTTCAGTGCTAAAGATTTCCACTTTTTTACACAAATTAATACCGTATATTGTAACTCTTAATTGGTCCCAACTGCTTGGGCAATCCTTGGCCTCTCTAGTTTGCAGTTAAATGTGTGATCTGACTCTGTTGAAAAGCTGGGGGCATTTAGTGTGATGAGGGACTATTCACCCAAAGAAGTCATCAGTGGTTGTGTGTGCATGTGTCAATTGCACTGAAAACGGTTTCATTTCTTAAGATCAACTGTGGATGCCCAGAGGAGGACGGGGTGGTGGGGAAGGGGGAGGAGGAATATGGAAGGATAGGTTGATTTCACAAAACCTTTCTTCTATGTACATGACCTGCATTTTAAGAGCTAAGAAAATTCTATAAATGTTGCCAAACTGGAGGTTTTGCTGTGCTGAAAATCACCTTACATAACAATTACATCCAAGGCAGTAAAAACACCTTGCTCTTCTCTGCACTTCTTCTGTATTTCAGAACAATCTGATCATATGCTTAGTATAAGCCATTAAAACCATATTAAAGTTTTCAGTATAACAGCTGGGCAACCTGCTTTATCAGACATTCTAGTGCAAGTAGAGCTGGATTTGTGTGCATCCCCCTGTGCTTCTGCACAAAGGAAACAGCATGATCTACATATCTCCTGTGTGAGATCACAAAACGTGGCTTAAGACAGAGCCTGGCAACATGTGCTTTAATCCGGCCTTCTTTGAGTATTAAGAAGCAGAACTATGCGGGCGGCTAAACTCACCAACCTCTATCCTGGTTAATCCAGTACATTTTTCTGCCTATGACAGACTAACAAATATTTCTCATCTCCACATAGACACATAGGTGTCATTCCAAGTAAATACAGTGTAAAGTCTTTTGGCGTGTAAGGCAACACTCCTGTAGACAATCTCCTCTTTCTATGGCAGTAAAAATACAGCAGCTGTAGAAATTTTAAAAGTTGCTATTCTTGCCTCTTTCTGCCTAATGTTAAGGACTGGTCCCGTCTTAGCACATTTCAAAGGAGTAAATTATCTGAAGCACAAGATAGGTCCTCGGAGGCTGGGGGACTCCTGTCCAATTCCTTTCTTATCACTTAGTAAATCATCTTTAAATAAAACCTGCCAACGAAGTCCAGGAACAGCCAGTGACTCAGACATGGAAAGAGCAAGAGGCAGTTCTGGGGAAAGAGGGCAGGTGAGTTGCTATAACACCAACTAAAAATACCCTCCTGACATTTGCAAAGACAGTGGAGAGGTCAGGATGCCTAGAAGTCTCGTAGCTCTTTTCGCTTGGTACCCCCACTATTCTTTTGTGGGCTCTAACTCTGTATTTGAAAGCAATGGATTTGTTTGATTTTAATTAGTAAACACATAGGATTGCTCTGTCAGTAAAACTGCTCTTTCAGTTAAAAAAAGCCGCACCATTTCTATTCTTTATGTCCATGCTTCTGCTATCCTATTTGCTTGATGCATATATGAATTGTAGGGAAATGTTCCTATTGTTTCTAGGAAAGAACTCCCCCCCCCCCAAAAAAAACACAAGTGAGAGAGAAAGAGCTACAAGAACAGACTCTTACTGAACAATGATGACTGGGAGTAATTTGTCTAAAGATGGGAATGCTATGTAATCATCCAAAGAATCCTTGGCAGGTAATGGTGTATATCCATTAACTAGTTCAAAACATATCTTTCCCTACTTTCTTTTCAGCCAATCCCCGCTCAGAGGTCATCCTATCTGAACTGTGCTAATGTACTTCTCTTTCATCCCCACATTTCTGCCTTGAATTTCCAGTGGCATACATTTATAAGTAACATCTGTAGAAATCTCTAGGTGAGCCTTCAGTGCAGGACTCTACTAAGATATGACACTATCCCTCACTTCCCCTAGGAGAAATAGATGCTTTTTTGTTCAGCTAAGAGGTAGCACCTTGCTGACCTTGGATGGTTTAAAAAAGCTAAACACAAGAAGGGTTTATTAGAATCAGGATGGGAAAAGTCAGGGCTGTAGGCAGGACTGGGAAATTGAAAGAGCATCCTGGAAGGGTAATGGCAAATCATTTTTGTAATGCTGATGAGATGGATGAGAATGGATACATCCACAAAGTTATCAAGAATTGAATCAGATTTGAAGGAAGTATCAGAGTATGTCTGCTGTGATAATTGTACAAATTTCACTTCTCTACTGGAGTTATAAGTACATTCACTAAGTGACAGAAGCAATTTGAGTAGATTAAAAAAGTAGATTAGAAGTTTTTAAAACCTGTGCGTGCCAGTCCCACAGAATATAGGGCAGTGATGGCGAACCTTTTAGGGACCGAGTGCCCCAAAATTGCCCCCCCTGCCTGCTCCGCCTCCCACCCTACCTGCTCCACCCCCACCCGCCCCCTGCCCCGCCCACCCACAGGGATATTCACCGCCTCCATAGCCCGCAGATCACCAAGGCAGCCCTGCAGCACCATGGCAGCCATGCCCTCTGCCCACACCCCGCAGCATCATCTGCACGCTATGGAGTGCGAGGGCGGAGTCGTGTCCCTGCTGCCTGGTTATGTCCTTGGCTGCGCTGCTCCGTGTGTGCCGCACCTGGGGGCGATTCTCCTCCAGAAAGGCTGCTGGTGAGGAGGGGGCCATGGGGGGAGGTGGGGCTGCGGTGACGGCATGCATGCCCACAGAGAGGGCTCCGAGTGCCACCTCTGGCACCCGTGCCATAGGTTCACCACCACTGATATAGGGCATTATTTGATTAGATGCTAAATATTGTGGTGAATACTGGATGATTATTACTGCCTGCCTTATTTTTGTCCTCCCAATACCAACTGATGCCTTTCCAGTCTTTGAATATACAGAAATGCCATAAAATTCCTTGAAACCAAACTAACTCAAAGTCTGCAGCTGTGGGCAAATCCTAAAGAGTGTAGTCCTGTGTAACCTTTTTTGAAATTGTTTTATATGAGATTTGTATTAACTTTAGTATCTTATTTCTCTCTTCAAAAAACAGAAAAGCATAGCAGAAATTCTGTGCCTTGCTAACTTGCATGCATTTTAAATTTAAAATGATTTACAGCTCTTTGAATAATATGTTTAAATTGAAGATATATTCCAAAGCTCCTTGAGAGCTCCATCATAAAGCATTTGCTGTTTTCCTTCATATATTAGTTTTCTCAGAGGTATCACCATTGTAAAAAAAATTGAGATTCCTGGCCTTCAATATTACTCAATAAACAAAAAATCAAGTGATGTAGCCTCCAAAATTTATCTTGACAATAACAATACTAGGAAGTTACAGATTCAGAGAAATAGAGACCACACATTTATTTTTTATCTGGAGAAAAGATTGCCTAATGTAGACTTCAATGAACGTTTAGACTAAATATTCCAAAATAATCTCAGATGTATAGTAAAAACACGTTAGAAAAAAGTATGAACAAGGATTCTATACAGCATATAAAAGGGCAATATAATAGTAACCATCAATAAAACATAAAGCATATGAAAACGATCAGAGATAAAATAGGTTGGATAATATATATATATATTTGGTTTAGAGAGTCAGTGAAATCAAAAGCTTTGTGTCTGCTGCTGAAATAACTAGAATAAACACTACTTGAGCCTTTTTGAGGAACTAAGTCCACAACCAGTGCACCATCAATGAGTGGCCATTTCTTGCCACACTGATTATGTGGTCCCTCTTTGCTCTTTTGAAGGACTCTCAGGATCACATACTTTGTTACATCTCTTCTTTTCTAGTTCTCAGTGTTCTTTAGTGAATACTTTAAAGAATAGCTAATTGGGAGTGACTCCCCTACCTAACCATTTTTCTTATGTCTCCTAAATTTTCTTGGGAGATAGGAGAACATGATATGCTTCTAAGATTAACTTCACCATGAAGTTTCCCTCCCATGTCTGTTTCTCCTTCCAGAGTTCAAGAATCCTGAGTTCTCTGGAACCTGAACATAGTGTAGGAGCCACCAATTGGCCATCCCCTTATGTTTTAGGAATAAACACTTACCTGAAGTCACAACTAGGAACAGTTCTTTTGTGAGCCTCCGCTATGGACCATTTATAAACATGATATCCTAGAAATCAGACTTCACCTCCCTATTGGCAGGTCCTTCTCTGAGGCTAGCTGACTTTCTTCGTGTCTTCTTTCTCCTGGCTTCTTCTGCCAGTATCTCGATCCTCACTCCTATTACTATGCCTGCCTGCAGCATTTCTCTCATTGTTTACTACTCTGTTGATACAGCCACCCTCCATTCTGTGATGGGTAACTAAACACTCCTATTTTTATCAGGAAACCCAGCAGGTGCTTCTTTCAATCATAGCCCCTATTTCTCAGAAGGGCCAGATGGAGCCAAGACAAGGTAAAGAAAGATAGCTTCTAGCAGCCTCTTAGCAGTTCAGCTCAACATTTAAGGGAATCATAGGAAAGAACTATTTTTCTCTTTTAGTGAGCTGCCTATAAGAGATTTTTCAGCCTGTGTATTGGTCTCTTGAGGCATCAGCTGTATGGGAGAATACTCCAGAGCTATTAATAATAGACACAGTTTTCATAGCCTTTTGTCACTTCTGATAAACAACAGACATTCAAAGGAAATTTGAAAGGTGGCCTATAGGGATTCAAAAAACATGTATACAAAAAAACAAAGGAATCTGCCAGAAGACTTTGAAAAGAACTCATATTCTTAAGAGGATAGAAGAAGCTGTAGAAGCAGGGCTTTTTTTTTTGTCATAGAACGCCCAGAATGGAGTTCTGGCACATTTTTTAGATGGAACCTTGTAGAATAGGCAAGGCGGGTTGTATGATGTGTGTGAGTTCCGGTACTTTTTTTTTTTTTTTTTACAAAAAAAGCACTGTGTGGAAGTATATGAAATGTCTCTATTTAGAGCAGAACTACCATTCACTTCCCTTTTGTTATTTAATGCATAAGTTGTTTTGGGTTTCAGTAAAAGGAAACATTCTAAATAAATAAAAGCAGGAATCCAGGCTCTAGTGCAGGGGTTCTCAACCTTGACAACTTTAAGACTTGTGGACTTCAACTCCCAGAATTCCTCAGCCAGCAAAGCTGGCTGAGGAATTCTGGGAATTGAAGTCCACAAGTCTTAAAGTTGCCAAGGTTGAGAACCCCTGCTCTAGTGCTTCCCCCCCCCCCATCTAGGATTAGAGATGATACAGTGTAGGCTGTTGGATGAATATCTGACTTTGCCGTACTTCATTTTTGCACTTTCTTTAGGATGTGGTTTAGCACCACAGAAGCCCTAGGACTCTCTCCATTCTTGAAAGGCAGTCAGTCTCACAGAAATGGGGAATGTCTGAAGGAATATTGAGATTTCATCATCCTTAATGAAGTTGAATATTTAGCTTCGTCAAGAGACAACTGCACCTTACTTGGATAAAACAAAGAGAGCTTTGCTTGTCCTCAGGAAGAGGCCTGAATGGATGCAAAATTATTTTAAGTTGATGTTGCCGCTTACATATAAACTGTCAAAAAATTAAGATATTTGGGGATTTTGACCCTCACATTATATGTATGAGTTTGAGAACAAAGCATGCCTGCAGCTGAAACTGACCTTCCTTCCACTTCCCTCTACCCTGGATCCCCACTGGGTTGAGTTGAACAATGTCTGATAGGAATGGTCAGTGTTGCAGCCTTATTCTAAGGGACATACTAATTATGCGGATCATATTTAGCATTTAGATAGCAATTTCCAAAGATGCAGAAGTTCAAATGTCAAAAAAAAACCCGAAACATTTTCATATCATGATTTGAGAGAATATGTAATCTAATATCATCACTTCAGTCATGTTTCCTTGAAGAAGAAAAAAATCTTCTATGATAGAGTTATGTTGTGCTGGCAACACAAGTTGCACAAATATTGTCAACACTCTTTTTCCCATCTTTCACAACCTGGCAGAAAGTATTTGCTGTAAACACTGCTATGGGAACCAAACTTGAGATAGCTCTCTGCAGGAAGGAACTCGTGGTTTGAATATATGATTTGCCAAGGACTCCAACAGACTTAGTTTATAATGTGCTCCTGGGGTGACAATGAAAACCTGGTGAAAACTATGGGATTAACCTCTTATGACATACTCTAGTGTGAGTATGACACTCACACAAATCCAGTGCGTTTTCTCCACTTATTCATTTCTGAAGCCACTCTGACGCCTTGTGGCCAAAAAGACTGAATTTCTAAAATTAGACAGTAACAGGGACAAGATATAGAGATGGAGAATAATAACTGCACTGTGATCCAGAGTCAAGATCAAACCTGATTTTTATTATGCATGAGCTTCCTCACCAGAATACAAATGGAAGAAAGGCAGATAATACAATTATGAAGTCATGCCCAGATGTATAGGAAGAGTTTATTACACCAACAATCTACAAGCAGAAAAAGACTCACTTGTAATTAGTATTTTGTCTTCAAAGGAAAATTACACTCATTGGAAATTGAAAAATGTAGGGAGGGATCTGGTAATTTTCCTAAGTGCTGATTTATTACTTCTTTTGTTCTTCCTAAGATGCCTTCTGGACATGTTGATGTGCCTCAACTTATTAGAGTTTATAGAAGCAATTAAAACTTGGTTATTTCAAAATACCTTTGAGGGGCAAGATGATTGAAATTCTTTCTATATATGATTCTACAGGGTTATGATTCCTTGCATAGGAATGCTGTATAATATAGTATTTTAAAATTATTAGTTTGAACTATTTTTGCTATTATAATTTTCTTTACTTAGATTAAGATAGAATGATAGGATTATTCCAAATCAGTTGTTGGCTGGAGTGACATAAGCCTAGTAAAATAAAAATTTTTAAAAACCTGGTCCTAGGAATTGGTCTACTAATTAGAGAAAAGGATGTTTTCAACAGCCCATCTCACTTGTTGTGTGATCATGAGGAACTCTCTTTTTTCACCACACTGCAGGTTTTTGTCTAAAGTAAACAAACCATGTTTATTTGGGATGAGCTTCTTCTTATCCAGTCTATTTTGATTCATGGGCAGCAGAGAGAAATGGCTTTATTTGCTCTTTATATAATATGATACACAAAGAGGGTCTCAAATTACTTACTAAATATATAAGCACGGTCAGCCAGTAAAAACTACTGCATGATAAAGGTATTTTCTAACCTCCCACATGATGAAGAGTCAGTTCCAGCCAAAATTATGGTCAAACTCAAGAAAGATTGATTTCTCTTTCAGGTTGCCGAGTGAGTCACAGGCAGACAGACTGCAATTAGTTGGGCAAAAGAATAGACAAAATTGTCACTTGGGTATCCAAATGTAGTCTTGATTAAAATAGTCTGAATGACACTTTTTATATAATTAATCTTTGCCAGCACCCATGTCTAGTCAAGAGCCTTTATAAGCGCTTGACCTTATGAACTGGCATTACTTGCAACTCAGCAAAAAAATGACTCCGAAAGGTCTATGCTGTGGTAACTGTTCCAGTCCAGATAATCAATCAGTTCATGTGTTTGTCCATGGGCAGAAGGAAGAACCATTTAACTATTTTATGCCTATGATGTAAACACATTCCCAGGAAAGCAACTGCTACAATACTTTGTTACAAGCAGAACATTTAGGTTTTTGAAATGGTTAACAGCTAACAAGACAATGTAAATCTGAATCATAATAATTGTCAGGGTTTTTTTTTTCCCCTTTGGGCCACTCCACCCCTTCCTGACGTCCAGATGTAGTGAAGTTATTGATTCCATTGTTCTGGGAGCATATACTTGTAGAATTGTATACAACAAAAGTTCAGTCTTAAGGTGAAAGACAAAAACCAGAAATGATTGTTGCAGAATATTGGAGAGTACACATTTTATAATGAAAACTAGACTCAAAACCTAGAGTCCCCTTTGTTAGATGCATTACAGTTTGTTATCAATTAACAGATGATAAATATACCTAAATAACAGATGAAAGCCAACAATGTAGTGGTTAAGCCATCAGGCTAGAATTCAGAAGACCACTCCGTGCCTCTTAGGTACAAAACCAGCCGGGTCCAGTCACTTTCTTTCAGCCTGAAAATGGAGAAAATGGCAAACCAGTACTGAAAAAAATTTCCAGAAAAACTCCAGGAAGTCCAGGCAGTCTTCAAGAATTAAACATGATTGAACCGAAGGGGGAAAAATGGATATAAAGGAGAACAATGAAAATGAACTAAATATAGTAATTGGAGTGCCAAGTGCTTTCAGTGACCACAATACTATGTTAATATGATATAATGGTAAGGTGTCATACCAGAAGTAGGAAGATCCAAGTCCACTCAACATGGAAGTTCATTGGATTAATTTGGACTAGATTACATTTTCTCAGTTGAGCTCCAAGGATTGCTATTCTAAGCGTAAAACAAACAAACAAAAATCCTATGCAGATATTGTATTTGTTCATGGAGGAAAAGTAGTATCTAACTGACAGACAAGCAGAGATTGGCCATAACAGTAATCTTAGTTTTGTTGAGTTAATTAAGACTGCATATTCCCAGCATTATAAACTAGCATGTGTTTATAATGCTGGGAATATGCAGTCTTAATTTTATGTATAAGTTTACTTATTTGGAATCAAGAAACTTAAAATCTAATTGCAACTCATAGTAAACATGTTTATATCAGGTCAAACTACTTGTCCATTAATCCAGCTCAGTCCAGAAATTGCAGCATCTTTGCCCAAGGACCATTAACTAACACCTGTCCTTAGCGTTCCTTTGCTCTGTTTGTGTCAGGAATAGAATTTAGAATCTTCTCCTTACAAAACAGGTCCTCTCTTGAGCTATGGAAGAAGCTATGGCTCCATCCTTAACCCCCTTGCCTGATGTGGTTTCATTGTTTGTGCCAACCAAAATACAGGATATAGAAAGAGAACAAGTCATACAGGTTGCTCAAACTCATCTCACATTGGCAACCTAAATGATCAATTATCTGACCAATTGATTCTTTGTGTCTCCAAACTTCTTGCGGCATATTTTTTAAAAGAGATTATCTGATGTTTTAAAGCTTCTGCATCGTGAATAGTACCGATGAAGGGTCTGCCACTGCAGTTGCCACTGCAGAAGCTAATCGGACACAAGGCAAATCAAATTTTATTCAGCACTGACCTACAGTAAACCCAAAAGTCAGGAAATCATCAAGTCACAGAAAATAATCATGCAGATAATCTGTCCCTCTAGGTTGCTTCCTTGCACAATCAAAAGAAAAAGGACAGAAATAGCCCTTCACAAAATGAGCTGCAGTTCATTCTTGTCTCAGGACGTAATTTACAAAGAAGTCAGTCTGGGGCATAGGTTGAAGTTCCAAAAATGCTGGGACCACCTTCCTTGGCTGGCATTAGCCCTGAATGCCATTTTTATCCAGGGAAGTTATTTTCCTAAGACTAGATCTAAGGAAACAGTTCATCAAAGAGAAGATGTGGGCAGCTGTCTCAATGGAGGTAGTGTAATATAGAAACATGTATAGTTTCCTGAAGCTTTTTTTCAGAGATACCAGTACAATTTGTTTGTTTGCTCTATGGTCACAGATGAATTTAATATAAATCTTAGAATAAGGTATCTGAAAGGAAATTATCAAGGGTGAAAAATCATTACAAAATAAATGTAGCATGTTTTATCAAAAGCTTCTTTAGGCTTTGCTTAACACAGAACCAATGCTTTCTAATGATTGCATCAGGGAAGTTTTTTTTACAACTTTTGCTAGTCAGATTCTTCAGTAATAATTTAAAATCTCTGATTTATTTATTTATTTATTTATTTATTTATGAGACTTATATACCGCTTTAAGTGCAAGCACTCTCTAAGCGGTGTACACCAGTAAGCAATGTATATATATATTTACATTGCCCCCAACAATCTGGGTCCTCATTTTACCTATCTCGGAAGGATGGAAGGCTGAGTCAACCTTGAGCCGGTGAGATTTGAACCGCTGACCTGCTGAACACAGTCAGCTAAAGTGGCCTGCAGTACTGCACTCTAACTGCTGCGCCACCTTGGCTCTTTTGGGGTCATCCATGTATTTAATAATAAAGAGAGGAATTAGTACTGCATTGCAGATAAAGTATAATGGGCAACATTACAAAATACAAGGTGCTGCGATATCTGTATAAGGGATATTCTTAATTTTCCTATCATAACTTTAAAATCTTGCCACTAAGAATGCCTTTCTATAAAGACCAGAAAGGGTATTATGAAAATATTTAGGAGTGGCATAATAAAGGAGTCCCGAACTCCCAGGCCACAGACCGCTACCTATCTTTGGCTTTTTAGTAGGTTGTGCATGAAACCATTCTACCCCCCACCCCTGGTCTGTGGAAAAATCATTTTCCACGAAACTGGTCCTTAGTGCCAGAAAGGTACAAGTATAGATTGGGCGAGACCTGGCTCAAAAACAGTAACTGTGAGAGGAACCTTCGAGTCCTAGGGGATGATCACTTGACTATGAGCCAGCAATGTGCAGCACCAGCCAAAAAAACTAATACCATCCTGGGTTGTATTAACAGAGGCATAGAATCAAAATCATGTGTAGTATTAGTACCGCTTTGTAAAACCCTAGTAAGACCACATCTGGATTTCTGCAACCAATTTTGGTCACCAAACTACAAAAACGATGTTGAAATCTTGGAAAAAGTTCAGAGAAGAGCAACTAAAATGATCAAAGGCCTGGAAACTAAAACATATGAAGAATGGCTGCAGGACTTGGGTTTGCTAGTCTAAAGAAAAGAAGAAACAGGTGATATAATAGCAGTATTCCAGTATTTAAGGGGCTGCCACAAAGAAGAGGGGGTCAAGCTACTCTCCAAAGCACCAGAGGGCAAGACAAGAAACAATGGTTGGAAACTGACCAGAGAAGCAACCTGGAATTAAGGAGAAACTTCCTAACAGTGAGGACAATTAACCAGTGGAACAGCTTGCCTTCAGAAATCGTGGGTGCTCCATCACTGGAGATTTTTAAGAGGAGACTGGACAGTCACTTGTCTGAAATAGTATAGGTTCTCCTGCTCGAGCAGGGGGCTGGACTAGAAGACCTCCAAGGTCCCTTTCAGCTCAGCTCAGCTCTACTCTACTCTACTCTACCCTACCCTACCCTACCCTATTCGTTGGGACTGTTGGTATAATAGATGTCATCAACATCTCAAACAACAATAAATGCAACTATATAACATTTTGAAAAATAAGTGTTGCTGCCTGTGCTGGATCTAATTTTTTTTTTGGCCCAATATCAGCAAACCCTTTATCATATTTTACCATATATTCCATGACTAATACCTCTCACTCTCCTGTATTAGGGTGTAATAAAATATCTTCTTAGGGCACTATCACATACATGCACCATGGTGTTCTGTTCGGCAGGCATAATGATGGGCATGCTGCCAAGAATCTGTAGGAGACCAAAATGTTGGCTTTATATTTGATGAGACAGATGGAAAGTAATAGATGATTCTCAGTTTCCAAAGTTGTCAATTCACAATCTCTTTTTTCTATAAGTGAACAAATAATATTCAGTACTATCAGTCCCTAATCCTATTAAATTTTCAGTTATCTTTGGATGATAAATTTGCCCAAGGAGAAGAGAGTAACAAAAGCTATATAATTGTGTGAAAAATAGAAAGACTGAAATCTAGTATTCTGTGCATGTTTATATAGTAGACCTAATAAATTGAATAAGTGGACCCTGCCATAGAATAACACTAGGAAGAAGAGATTCAATGAGTTGAATAGTTCTTTCAACTACATTTTTAAAGTCCACAGAATAGAAAAATTTCATTGCTTTGTCATATTCAGATTAACTAATTCAATTCCTTTTTAGAAAATAATGATGATTAAGGATCCATCTGTACCCCCAACATTATTATATAACAACTAGGATTTTTCTAGGGTTACTGAGCTTGGACTACAGGTATCTAGATTATACAGAAATTCATATTAAAATATCCCTGGTAGACAGTCTTACCTCAGCTTGAAAACATCTCCCTGAATAACTACCAACTGGTATCAACTGTAAACCTGGCTGCCTGCCTTGCTGCTTACCCTTACGTCAAGCTGATTTATGTTAACACTGATCCCAAAATATATTCCTGATGGACTTCAGTTCTTATTTCTCTTCACCAAGCAAACTGCCTATTTATTTTTTACATTGTTTGCTGCTTTTTAAACAATTATGTAATCTATAGATAGATCCTCTTATCCTATGATATATAAATTTACTCAAGAGTCTTGAGGGATTTGGATATGTTTGGATTTTCAAAAAGCCTTTGAGGAAGTTGACAGTTCATCATCTATTCTACTGTATATATAGATGATGTAGTCACATAGATATATTCCAAAAGTGCTAGAAGGGGTTCATCATCTTCAGCTGATCGCTGTCTGTCTCTCTCTCTCTCCATTAAAAAGGTGGGATTTATTTATTATTCATTTATTTATCTTTGCAGATTATATGCTTATTTTCCTTCAGGAAGGCTTCTTCATTGATCAACGGTGTTAACTGGTCAAAGTTGAGTAAAGTGCAAGCTTTGTTTCCTGTGACTGGAAACTACATTTTATTCTACAATCCCAGACAGCTTGATTAGTTTAGAGTTCCGTCCATCGCTCAAACTCAGAAAAGCGATGCTGAAAAAATCTTAGGTACAGTGTATAATCAGCGCCTGCTGGAAATGCAACAAGGTCAACAAACCGCTCCAAGTCTCGTGCAAAGGTTCACTGATGAAACAGCAGCACTAATTTATCTTTCCCTTCTCTCAGTAAAAAGCATCCGATCGCTCCTGGCTTGCTCTCTTTCCTACGATGCTGAGGAACATCAGGACAGCCTTCTTTGACCTCTTAGACTACAACTCCCAGAATTCCCCAGCTAGCGGCCATGCCGGCTGTCAATTCAGATAGCCGCGATCCCGCGCTCTAGCCACCGTATCTCAACACTTCTCGCGGATTCCTCCTCTCTATGGTTTGAAATAGAAATAACCGCTTCTATCACACTGCAGCTGCGCAGTAGCTCTGAACCGGCACGTGATGTCAAGAGACTTACAGTATTGGACAGAGGTAATTCGAGAACTTTTCTGGCTGGCCTCTTAGAGAAGGCATGGTTCCATCCGGGAAGTTTCTATGGTATCCAAGAAGGGAGTGAAACCAAAGGCACACTGGCGGAAGTGCTGCTTCCTCGTGCTTCCGGTTGGTACCTGGACCGAAGGTGAGTTTTGATAGCGATGAAAGCGGGAAGGCTGTTGAGGCGTTTATAGAAGTTTATGGCGAGGCTATCCTGCAAAAAATGGATGGAGCGGCGTCTTTTTGGTGCAGACGAGGCTGCAGGCACAAAAACTGAAAAAGGGGAAGATAGGGCAGGAAACACCAATAGGTTTGCTCACTTTCATTAGGGAAGCTAGTAAAAAGAGGCGCCTGTGGCCATAACCTAAGCTCCCTTCCCAATCTCTCCTTTTTGTATTCCCTCCACCATCGCCAGCAATAGCCGCAAAACGCGCTCATTCTGAGGGAAAAAAGCTTTGAGATCGGGCTTTCGTCTTTCTACTTCTGGTCTTTTTTTTATTTCATTTAATTTTTCCCAAGATAACAAAAACGTACAAAAGTAAGCCCAAATGTTGGAGATGTGGTTGTTTGGATGCTACTTACTATCATATTTGGTGGTCGTGTAAAAATATAAAAGCCTTTTGGATTAAGATATGGTGGAATATTCAAAGAATTTTTAGAAGGAGGGTAAAATTTACCCCACAATTGTTTTTGTTAGGTATTGTTACTGATTGTGATACTAAAGAGACCACATTGATGTTAAATTTAATTACAGCCACAAGGTTGTTAGTAGGGCAATGTTGGAAGAAGGAATCTTTGCCTACTTTGCAAGAGTGGTTTTTTAAAGTTGCTTATTTGGCGGAAATGGCAAAGATTTCGGCTTTCTTGAAGGATCAATCGCAGGAGAAGTATTTTGCGGTATGGAAAAAATGGATAGATTTTATACAATATAAGTTGGATATTAAAAAATATTATTTAGTTTTTCAATAACTTATATTTAAAATTTAAAACATCTTATAGATTTTATTCTTTTTTTATTTTTATCTTTTATTTTTATTATACTTTCTTTTATCTTTTTCTTTTTTCCTTTTCTTTATTCTTTTTTCTTTCAAGTATTATTCTTTTGGTATTTATGTTTTCTTATATATATATTATTGTTAATTATCTTATAATTTGTTTAATTAATGTATTTAGTATTTAGATTTATTCATGCTTTATATTTTTTTTTAAGATTTTTTGAAGAAATTTCAATTAAGCCTATGTTCAGCTCTGGGAAGGTCGGGGGAGGGAATGGGAGGGTTAGGGAGGTTTGGGGATGGGTTGTTTTGTTTTTGTAAAATTTCAAAAACTTAATAAAAAAAACGTACAAAAGTAGACGATTAAGAAAGAAAGTCCTTTCTATCAGGTGCTTACTGGTGTCAGAACCATCACAATTAAAATAAAGCATACTACATGACATACATTTAAAATATAAAATACCAGGTTAAAATATGTACAAATTAAATTAAATTTCTATCAGGTAAGTACCATCTTATTCTTCTCCCTCTTTGAGGCTTTTTATTCCCCATCTCTTTCTACTTCAAGAGTTGATATAATGGCTTTTTCTTCCCATGACACTGATTGGTTAGAGTGGGAAATGGGGCGTGAAGTGATTTATGCACTCACAAATTTTATTAGTCAAGATTACAAATAGAATTAGGTTATCAAAAGAGGTTTGTAAAATACTGAACATGTACAATTTTATTGATTTAGTGAATATGCCTTTACATATTTTTATGTTGATAGAATTACTAGCTTCTAATATTTGTGTTCTCCAGCTATAAAAAAGGAATTTACTTGAAGGTGTGATGGATCCTCTGCGGGCTCAGCAGCTGGCAGCTGAGCTGGAAGTGGAGATGATGGCTGATATGTACAACAGGTATTATAAGTACAAGATTTTTAAAAGCTATTTTAACTTTTTAACTCCATGAAAACCCTAACAGGTTATTATCCAAGTTGATGCCAAAATATCAAAAATTATTCAGATCCTTATAAGGAAACTCCAACTGTTTTTGAACTTTGATGATGGAAGCTGTTTTCTGCTAGGCAATGGTCAGTGCATGAAATACTGGAGCTCAGTGAGACCTCCATGCTTGTCACTCAGGTGAGATGACAGACTTAGGAGCTTTTAATTGTGACTGAGAAGGTGTGGGCTCTTCTACTTCTGCAGCCCTGGCAGTAAGTCAAATGACGAAATATAGCATAATATCAGAGAGTTTATGAGAAAAGGAAAAATATAATATGGAACTTTTTAATCTTTTGATGTTTAATAGTCATTATTCTATAATTTTATCATTTTAACCATAATTTAAATTTTTAGTTTTAATATTTTTCTGTGTTTTATTTGTCTGTTGTATTATTTTGTACACTGCCCTGAGGGTGGTAGGTGGTTTAGAAACATGAAGTATAAATAAATAAATAAATTGGAGCCGGTGAAATACCTAAGAAGCCTGGTGAGATAACTAAATAGCTCTGGGAGGCAAACAAAGCAGAGGGGAAGTCTAGATACAGTAATATTGCTAGTATGAGGCAAGAGCATTTATGGGCAATTTCCAGCCACAATGCCTTGAGTGTGGCAATAGCAGGAAGACTTGCATGCTGGAAGAAATAGAAATACTAGCATTACCAAGGAAAAAAGAAGAGTTCAGACAAACCGGCAGCTGTTGTTTCTTTTAGTTTCATCGTAGAACAGCGTAGTGTTTTACTCCGTTCCACTTCAGTCCAGGCAGGTTTCTTTTTTTGTCAGTACCTCTCCCAACAAAAAAACTGTATAAGTGGGGGTTTTATGTTTCATGTATATTGTAGGCCCCTTGCAATGACTGTGCAGTTTTCCAGGAATCTATGCTCCACTATTTGGGAATTATTGATTAGATACTTATAATAAAGACAGTGCTTGAGGCCTTTGAACTATGGTGCTGGAGAAGACTCCTGCGAGTCCCCTGGACTGCAAGGTGATCAAACCGGTCAGTCCTAGAGGAGATCAACCCCAACTGCTCTTTAGAAGGCCAGATCCTGAAGTTGAAACTCAAATTACTTTGGCCACCTAATGAGAAGGAAGGACTCACTGGAGAAGAGCCTAATGCTGGGAAAGATTGAGGCCAATAGAAGAAGAGGACGACAGAGAATGAGGTGGCTGGATGGTGTCACTGAACCAGTAGGCGTGAGCTTAAATGGACTCCAGAAGATGGTAGAGGACAGGAAGGCCTGGAGGAACATTGTCCATGGGGTCGCGGTGGGTCAGACACAACTTTGCAACTAACAACAATTAATGCTCAAATGGTTGTTAGAGGTAAAATTATAGAAAGAACTTAAAATTGAACCTGTAATTAGTGAAGATAGTTGAGTAATGAATGGATCAGTTGTAAAGGGTTATTGAGTTTGGGATACATGGTAACTAAAATATTTTTTGTATTAATATAGCTGTGTATTTATTATCACTGTTTTATTTAGTATTAGTATCTATTAACTTCCTGGAGTCCATAAAGGGTTTAGGTGGGGATAAATATCATAGATATGCCAAAATGGCACCTGCCTGAAAAGATGGTCTGGTCTGTTTTAATCCAAAATGTTTTTCTGGACAGATTAACAGATCAGTTTAGTAGTAATACTACTACTAAAGAAAATATTACTAAATAATATTTTCATTAAATGTTAAACAATGTGCTTAGCAATAATATGGATAAGAGAATTACACACAACACATAAATATTTGTTGGGAACGGTTTTGAGTCCCTAACTGTTGCATATGTTTTATGATGAAAAGTAAAAAGAATAGGTACAATGGTCCTTTTTAGGGTCATAGCCAACATGCAGGGGTTAGTGCGGGGGTAGGCAACCTTGGCTCTTTTATGACTCGTGGATTTCAACTCCCAGAATTCCTGAGCCAGCCATGCTCAATTCTGGGAGTTGAAGTCCACGAGTCATAAAAGAGCCAAGGTTGTCTACCCCTGGGTTAGTGAAAGACTTAGCTGCACTGTAGTTTCATTTGTACCCATTGGAGATGCAAAATTAAACAAACTAATGGATAAGCTAGTGTAGGAGTGGTTTCATTTTACAGCTGGAATCTAAAAAGGAGAGTTGACTATTGGTTAACTCCACCTCCTCTAAACTGGGTAAATTTACATACTTGATTATACATACATGGAATTGCAGTTTTTTAAAAGTATGTTTATGCTGGATATTTTGTATTTTTACTTGTTCTTTTTCCTGAGAAAAATTTAGGCTGTTTTTAAAACCATGTGTTCAAAGCAAAATTTTAACATTTTGCATTAAAATAATCTACATAAGAAGTGATGGGAAGCTTAGGGCTTTCAGTCTTGGATGAGAGATAAAGACTTGATGAATTTGAAATAGTGTACTAAAACGGCACCATAAGTTTGATTCCTAGTGTATGAATGAGCATAGTCTCACCATCTCAACCTGTCCCTTAATAGTGATTACAGCTTTCAGAGTTTTAAAAGAAGATAAAAACTAATATATCAAGACAGAAAAAGAAAAATCAAAAGAGAAAACTAGAAATGCAAGAAAGGAAAAAGTTTTTAAAAAGAGAAAGAAAAAAATACAAAGAAGTAGCTTCCAAACGCCTTTACGCCAGTTATAAATACAATTATAAATGTCCTTATTTCTCTAAAAATCACAACATGTCTGCCTTCTTTCTATCGTCTATCCTGTCTAATCATCAAAACCATAAATCATAAGTTCATTTTTTTCTGTTTTTTGCAATATGTCCATAAGCCAGAAATTAATATGGATAGTGGCTTTTCTCTAATCAAAGAAGACAATTTGGCCATCTTAGCAACTTCCTATCATCTTCATCAACCATTCTTCTCTCTTAGATTTTGCTAAATCTTTTCATCTTTGGGCATACATGTCCAGTTGCGAAACTGTCCAAATGTGATTTCCCTAAGACCAGCTTGGGACTACCTAGGCTACCGAATCTCGAAGAACGGCATAAAAATGGATCCTGGGAAGGTCTGAGTGATCCTAGAGTGGGAGCATCCACAAACGAGATGACAAACTTTCCTTGGTTTTGCTAACTTATATTGTCAGTTCATCCCCACGTTTGCTCAGATAGCCCTACCGATCATGAATTTACCGAAAATGAAAGGGGAAGCTAAACCCAGGCCCAGCCAATCCCTAAATTGATCATTGGAGTGCCAAGCTGCATTCAGAAGCTCAAATGTCTTTTCACCGCCGAACCAGTCCTAAAACACCCTGACCCAGATGAGTCCTTTGTAATACAAGCGGACGCCAGTGATATGGCCATGGGAGGGGTGTTGCTTCAGAAGAATGCAAAGGGAGAATTACAGACATGTGCTTACACCTCCCGCAAGCTCTCCGAGACTGAGTAATGATGGGCTATCTGGGAGAAGGAAGCCTATGTGGTTCGTTGGGCCCTCCTTACTTGGAGGCAATTCCTGGAGGGCATTAAAATCCTCTTCGAGGTTTGGATAGACCACAAAAACCTATAAGCATTGAAAGCTGGGAATCGAACCCTGGTCTCCCGCATGACAGGCAGGGATACTTACCACTATACTAATGAGGAGTTATCTGCTGCGGTTATCATATGCAAGAACAAAGTTCTATGACTTTTTTTTCCAACTCTCTGTCCATCAGTCCCACCTCTGTCTCCAATTTATTCAAAGGTACTTTCACAAAAAAAAAAATCTTTCAAAATTGGCTACATCCAAAATCTTTTAAGAAAGTAAGCTTATGTAAACTTTGTGTCCATATAGGCTGTATTATGGCTGTGAGCCACTCAATTCAACTGCAAAAACCTCAGTTCTTGTAGTCTATTCTTAAGCACCTGTCACAGCTACAGAGGGCAATCTGACAATTTCACCTTATATTCAGAAAAAGAACACTGGCCAAAATTTGGGGAATAGCCTCCAATCTTTGCCAATTTTGGTTCAAGCAAGTTAAAAGTGGGGGCAGGAATTTTGTACAGTACTTTCAGTCTTGCAAGATTGATGTCAGTCTTCCCAGGTTAATCAGATAGAAAACAGGGCTAGATGAATGAATGAACAATCTTGCAAGTCTAACAGTACAAACTTACCACCATCGCTTTTAATTGCTTGATGTTTTAGGGCAGATCTTTTCTAAGTTTCTTTCTCTGACTTTAAGCCACATGGAGCTCCTGTCTCTCTTCTCTTATTGTTTCCTAGGTAGCATCTTTTCTCCTCATTCCCCACAGTCATCCACCTATTCCATTACAACGTATCTCTAGTTACTATTATTGGTTAATAAATATAAAAATGCAAGATACTTGGGATTTTCCTCTTTTGCTTGTCTTTGCATATTCCTTAATTTCCTGGTTTCCATTGACCTTTCATAGGAATAGGCTTTTTATATGCTGACACAGGCTTCCTGTTTCCTGAGAAATGTATAAACATATGTATATGTTTATATCTGCAAACTAAGCAGACGTTCATGAATCTGTGGAAACATAAAAAACAAAAAACATAAAAAAACTTGAAAAACAAACATACAAATCAAAGGAATTGGCACTGACACACACAAGTAGTAACAGTTATATGGTAAAGGAATGTCTGGGAAGTCTAAATCTGGTGGTAACACTGAAAACTATGTTGGCCTCCCCTCAATCCCATCCACCTGCAACTTTTTCCATAACCATATTTATTATCCACTATTTGCATCGTATCCCCAAAGTATGTAAGTATCTGCTTATTCAATTCTTTATTTTTATTTACAGGTAGTCCTCAATTTACAACAGTTAATTTAGTGGCCATTCAAAGTTATAATGGCACTGAAAAAAAATGACTTATGACCATTTTGATGGCACAGTTGTTAGAATGCAGTACTGCAGGCTACTTACTTCTGCTGACTGCCGGCTGTCAGCAGTCTGGCAATTCGATTCTA